TTTTTTAGATAGGGTTTCACTAAGTTGATAAGTTGCCCGGGATGGGCCAGAATTTGATTCTCCTGGGATATTCAGTTGTTTTTCCTCAAGATAATGGAGTAGTTTAAATATGTGAACCAGGTATGGTGGTACACATCCATAATCCTAGCTACTCAAGGAGGCCGAGACAGGAACACCTTAAGTTTGAGCCCAGGCTGATAATTTAGTGTGACCCTGTTTCAAAATAAGAAGGGTTGGAGATATATATCAGTGGTACGTACAGTCCTTGTCTAGCATGTGCAAAGCAATGGATTCAATCCCCAATACCACCAAAAAAAAGGTTAATGGGTATCAGTTTAGTGTATTTATATGGAATCAAAAAACCCGGAATAATTGGCTTCCAATATTAAGAAGCAGGCACTGTAGTGAGTAAAAGTATGGTCCCTGAGCCAGCTGACTGGGTGTGAGTCTGGCTTACTTTGTGTTTGGACAAGGCGAAATGACCATCTGCAAGATGGGGATAAAAATATACTAATCACTGTAAAATTAAGTGAAAATTGAGTTTAGTAGATTTAAAGCACTTAATATATACAATTTCAAAAGCCTAATACATATTAATAATAATAATACATAATAAATCCAGGCTGAATATCTGAAATTTAAAGTGCTCCAAAATCCAAAGCATTTGAACATCAGTAGGACACCACAAATGGAAAATTCCACATCTGCCCTTACACAAAATGTAGGCATTCTAAAATTTGTTCAAAATCTATCTCCAGGCAATGTCTATTAAATGTATTAGAAACAAATGAATTCCATATATGGACATGGGTCCCATCCCCAAGATATCTTATGTACATGTAAATATTTAAAAATCTGAAATTAAAAAAAAAAGTCCCAGGCCATTTAGATGAAGGATATACAACCTGTACTAAATAAATGTTATTTGTTATTTTTGTTAAGTGACCAGAATATCTATTGGAAATATAATTTCTGTATGCCTAGAATAAGATATAAAATCTACAGTTTGATTTTTGAGCATTGTTGAATGCAGACTTCATAAACACTTTCTTTTCCTTAATTGCCTGTTTTCTGCAGAGGCTGGCTATGTGGCCACTCCCATAGCCATGGTCCAGGCAGCCCTGACTCTTTTGAATGATGCCTCTGATCTTCCTAAGGCGTAAGTTTGCTTTTCTTCTAGTGAGAAGTTAACTTTTTTATGTTATATTTTAAGTTATTTTTAGTTTATTTTTCAGGCTGTAGGTCTGCACTTAAGCATTTATAGTTCCTTTGATTCAAAGATATAAACTAAATAAAATAGTGAGGTCAGTTCCTTACTGGCCTTTGTGAATAACTGTAGAGGTAAAGCAGGAGAGAGAGAAGTCTGAAACCATGTAAATTGGCTTCACTTTCCTTATAAAAATAGCTCAAGCCCAGAGCCCTCAGAAAAGGTCCCTGTTGTTACATAGTATTAACAGAAGCCTCTAATCTGTGCTGAGTGATCCCCAGCTGGCTGGGAAGCCCTGACTAACACCAAGTGTGAAGTGAGTCCTGGAATCCTGGCTAGATGGTCTTCAAATATACTTTTACTGGACCATTTAGCTGTTACCCTAAAACTAGGTCAGTTTTACAAATGAATGTAGGCCTGCAGCTGAGAAATAAATCAGGCTTGAAACAATAAAAGTAAAATCTGTATACTAAAACCTAATTAAAATATCGATACTTAAATACTCTGAAAATATTTGGTGTTTGCAAATGTTAGCTATTAAAGAAACTTCTTTTTCATCCAATTTAAGTCCTGTTTATTCAACAGCAGCACACAGGTTGATAGTGAGCAGCCAATAGCGTGGGAACAGGCTCACCAGGAACTGAGCCAGTCTCAGCAGGAGTGGTTGCTTAATTTTGCCTTTTGAAAAATAGCCATTTGTTCATTTGGCTGATTTGAGGACTAGAACCAAAAATAGTCTGATAGGATGAAGGCTCGGGTTTTCAGGAATTCTGCCGGGATTTGCTAACACAGGAGGGCCTGGAGAGGAGAGGTATGAACTGTTTTCTCTTCTTGTTTTACAGGGGTGGGGTCTTCACACCTGGAGCAGCTTTCTCCAGAACAAAATTGATTGACAGACTCAACCAACGTGGTATTGAATTTAGTGTCATTAGCAGCTCTGAAGTCTAAACATTTGAAGAATTAACTGAAGTCATAAAAGCATGAATTATTAGCTTCTGTATTTGATATTTTAAATTCTTCTAAAAGCCTGACTATATATTGAAAACATTGTTAAATCTAAAATATCTATACATTAAAAGCAGGAAATTACTAGCTTACCTTAAACTTCAGATCCCAGCTGACTTTGTGATTTTTTTGCTTGTCAGAGAAAACTAATATTTGACTTACTTTTTAATTGAACTGTTTCTGATGAATTTTTACAATGAGCTGGTAGGTCAGGTGGTGGAGGCGTTGCTCTCTCTTGCTAATGGCATTCTTCAGTGACGGTGCTCAGGCTGGCGTCCGGCTAGAGCAGTCCCTGTTGCCTTGCTTGATGTGGGATCAAATGGAATCTTCACCCTCCGGTGAGTTTCTCTGCATACAGCATGCGCTTTTTTTGCTAAACGAAACTGCACTTTTTTCTACTTTAGCCTGGATTTTCATCCGTCTACACTAATTTAGGACTGTTACCTAAGTTGAATAATAAAGAGCTGTCACCAATGGACTTTTCATTTGGACCTTCCTGTTTATGTAGTGGTAGACATATGCTGCTTTTACATGATCTGAATCTGTTTACTACCAGTAATTGGTCCTTTTTTTCTTTCCCTAGTTCTATACCTATAGTTAGTTTTAAGAAGACAGCTTCTAAGTTTCTATTGATCTTCATTGCTTAAGCAGTTTTTCTCTAATTTACTTTTTAGTTTAACTAGGTTTTTTTTATTAAAGTCTTAAAGTAAGGTGAAGGACTTTTCCTATTACAATAATCATAAATGCACATAGTGGTCCTGTTGTTTATTATGTGAAAGAGACAGCTGCCTGTTATGAATTTCTGCTCTTAGAAAAGCATGAGATTTATAGTAGTATATTATTCATGTTAGGAGACTTTTGTACTGTCAGTACTAAGAAGGGAAGGTGTCTTAACTTAAAAAGGTAGATTCTTTTTTAAATTTTATTTTCATCAATAAGTGACTATATATATGTGTGGGGTACAAGACAACATTTCAGTACCTGTGCACCTTGTAGAGTGAGCAGAATAACTGGAACATCCATCATCTCAAATATTTGTCATATTTTTGGTGAGAACATTTAAAATCCCATTAGCTATTCTGAAATATTACTTTGCTGTTAACTATAGTAGTTTGCTGTGGGATAGCACACTCAGATTTATTCCTAACTATAACTTTGTACCCATTGGCCAGCATCTCCTTTTCCCCATTTGTACTCTCCCCTCATCCCTAATCTGGTAGCTACTATTCTGCTCTGTCCTCCTGACAGTTCTCCTTTTTCAGGTTCCACAAATGAGATCATCTGGTGTTTCTCTCTTTGTGCCTAGCTTATCTCACTTAATAGTGCACTTTATGTTCATCCATGTTTTCACAAATAACAGAATATCCTCTTGTTTTGTTTTGAAAGCTAGATAGTACTCTCTTGTGTATATGTGGTGAATGTTTAAATTTTTAAAAATGTATTACAGTAAAAGAGACATTATTATTAACCCCCCCTCAGAATTTTTTCACTTCAACCACACTTATAATTCTTGGCACTTTTTTTTTTGTTTGTTTTTTGAGGTGGGGTCTCACTATGTAGTTGAGACTGACCTGGAACTCACTATGTAGCCCAAGCTGGTCTTGAACTCACAGCGATCCTCCTGCCTCAACCTCCCGAGTGCTGGGATTACAGGCATGCACCACCATGCCTGGCTCTTGGCACTTTCTTAAGCAGTTTTGCAAGCCATTTTCTTGTCTTTACAAAGTATGAAAAAAAATATATATGGCAAGTGCTGCTGCCAAGTGCCATGTAAGGAAAGGCAGGCTTGTATAAACATCATGGTGTGTCTTCATCCACCTTACTCACCATGTGACTTCTGGCTTTTCCTCAAAATCAAAATGAACATGAAAGGTAAACATTTTGAATCAATTCAAGACATCAAGACAACCATAACACTGCAACTAAATTTTAATGGTAAATGCTTACTGATCACTTCTGTGTGCAAGGTTGCTGTGCAGTGGTACCTTGGTTCACAAACTTAGTTTGTTCCATGATTCTGGAGATGGCCGCATTCATGTTTGTGTGGAGAAGGTGGCTGTAGTTGTGTTCATCACTTGATGCAGAGTTTGAGAACAGAAGCAAAATTTTGCCAAATGCTTTTGTTCGCAAACTGAAGTTTTCATGAACTGAGGCACCACTGTATATTAACTGTCTGCTGTAAATACTGAAAACATATCCACATAGTGATGCTAAAGGGAGAAGGGAAGTCAATTACCCCAAATCTTCAAATTGATAAATGATGCACTTAACCAAGATTTAACCCTGGGTGCTGATCCCAGAGCTCATTCTGCTAACCATTTACCTCTGGTCTCCCATTTCACCTTCATGCTGCGTGTGGTTTCACTTTCATATGATTTAAAATCAAATTGAAGGAAAGTTTCCATTAAAAATGGTAGAACTAGGTTAAGTGGGTGAATTAAGCCCCATTGTCTCCACAGAGTTATCTTCACAACTTGGAGCGCAAGTGTTTGCAGGTTTCGCTTGATGCATCCTCACTGTTTGATGTGCAGTAAATATGCTTTCTTCTTTTTCACTATGAGAGCAATGTCATTTTTCAGTTTCCACAGGCTGGATTCAAGCAGGTCCCCAAAGTCCTTTAACATCTGTGACTGTTGGTATACAAATGGCCGGAGCATTTGATCATCTTCCTAAAGAACAAGTGAAAAAAAAAAAAGATGATAGTACAGTTTGTATCACTAAAGTAAGAAAAGTTTTGTGTCTGTACATGGGATGTGCTGTAAGTTTTCCCTTTGGTGTAGAAAACTGAAAGTGACTGGTAGTGTTCATAAATTATGTAGAAGCAACCTGGTTTCTGGAGGCTGCCAGGATGCCCAAAACTGGTAAGAATATCCAAATATCTCAGATTGGAATGTTATGTATTCTTTCAATACTGTAGAAGTTGTGAGGTTTGCAAGGAAGTCAGGAGGGTGGGAGGTTCTCTGATGTAACCCTTGTCCCATGGAAATAGCCTACCCTGAGAGATTTGCTGCTAGTTGGGGGTCACTTAGAGAAACTCTACCCGAGAGTATTGGGGCCTAATTCTCCACAGAGCCAATGGAGAAAGGAGATGAATTGCAGGGTTCTAGGGTATGGTATCTTCAATCTATATTGGGTAAATGCCTGATAATTTTTAAGTGGTTGTACTGATTATATGTTTCTAGCTGTGCATGAGAGTTTCTGTTGTTTCACATCTTCTCCAAGTCTTGATGTTGTTACTTTTTAATTTTTGTTAGTATGAATGGCTTATAATGGTATGGCATTGTTATTTCCCAAGGTATTAATGAACTTAAACATTTTTTCATATATCCATTGCATTTTTGATTTCTTCCATTGTAAAGGTCCTATTCGTGTCACTTGAACATTCTTTTCTTTTGGATTGTCTCGTTCTCTTTTCTTTTGTAGATCTTTATTTGGATATTAGTTCATCACGTGGTAAATGTGTTGCAGATAATTTTCTCCATTCCTTTTGGGTTTCATTTTTGTGTCTTTTGATGGATCAGAGTTCACAATTTTAATGTAGGTGAATTTATCCTTCTCCTTTTTTTTTTTCATCATTGAGTTTATTGGTACATTTTAGGTATTACAGTACAGTTACATTCATCATTGAGATCTTGTGCCTCTACATGACAGGTCTTGGTTGTCATTTTTTCCCCTTGTCCCTGCCCTCCTTTCACTCCCACCTCCTCTCCCTCTTTACAAACACTTCATTTCCATTTTTTCATTTTCTCATATTTTTTTTCTTTTCCCTTATTACCTTTCCCCTACCCTTCCCACTTTCCCTACACCTTTAGCCCCTTTCTTTCTATTTCACATTGTCCATTATATCATTAGGATCTTATGTACTATTATAGTCTGTTCACACAAGAGAAACTATTTGGTATTTACACATGTGTGACTTATTTATTTCACTTAGGAGTATATCCTCAATATGTATCCATTTTCCTATGAATGACTCTTAATTTCTCATTCTTTGTGGCTGAGTAACATTCCATTTTATAGAAAAACCACATCTTCTTTATCCAGATTTATCTTTCTCTTGAAAGCCTGTTTTGTTTTTGTTTTGTCTTTGTTTTGTCATACATAGAAACCTTTTCTGCTGTGAGGTCATGAAGACAGTCTCAGGATTATGCCAGATGTGGTGGTGGTGGCTGTAATCCTAATACTTGGGAGGCTGGACTACATACATATAGAGCACAGCTCAAGACCAGCCTAGACTACGTAGGAAGAGCCTGTCTCAAAATTAAAAAAAGTGAATGTTGTGTCTCTCATGCTTTTAGTTTTTAATTCTCATCTAAAATGGATTTCTAAGTATAGCTTTAGAGTTGAGTTCACTTTCATTTTCCCCATGTCTGTCAGCTTTGTGTCACAGGGACAGATGCCTGAGATAAACAGCTTAGAAGGAGGAAAGTTATATTTTGGTCTAATTGCTTTGGAGAGAGAGGGAGGGAGGGAGAGAGAGACAGGAAGGAGTAGGGGGAGTGGCGGGGAGAAGAGAGGAGATAGACACCAGGTCCCAAGGTCTAAATCCCACCTCAAGAGCATCCCTCTGTGACCAACTTCCTCCACTCCGGAAAGTTCCAGCACCTGCCAGTAGTGCTACAGGCCCGGGACCAGGCGTTAGTGCCTGAGCCCAAACCATAACATCTGGATCCCTGTTCTCCAGGCACCGTTCATGGAAGCATCCGTGTTGCCACACTCATCTGCAGCTCCACTCCATCTACCTGAAATCTCTAGTCCAGAACGAATCTATTTTTTGACCTTCTGTTCTTTTTCTTCATTACTTGTATTTGGGTCAGTACCTTAAAATAAGTTGATACGAGGTAGGGCAAGTCTTCCTAGCATGTTCTCCTACCTGGCCTTCGCAGTTCTGTATAAATTATAGATCATTTAGTCAGGCTCCATTTCATTTGCTTGGGAACACCCTGAATCTTGGGCAGAAGTGACGGATTTACCACAGCAGATCTTGCAAGCCATGGAAACAGCATGTTTCTCTGTTGTGGAGGCATCACTTTACCATCTCTCAGACAAATTTTAAATTTTTCTTCATAGAAGTCCTACACATTATTTTATGTTGTAGGTTTAACTATTTCACATATTTGATATATCTATAGTTGGCATACTTTTATTAAAATGATTTTATTGCTATTATAGTCAAATACAATTAATTTTTAAGTATTGATTTTAATCCGGAACTTTGTAATTCTGTTGATTTATGTATAAATTCTTTGGGACTTCCCGCCGATATGAGCGTGTTGTCTGGAAATAATAATGGACGCCGCACAGTGTAGTGGGGAGAAGGTGCTGTGGAGCATCACTGCTGGGTGGGATCTTAGTCCTGCAGTTCCCTAAGAATGTGTGCCTAAGAACCTTAGGCAGGTTGGCCGCCTTCACTCATGCCTTCCATCCATTGCTATGAAATAGGCCAGTGATAGTACCTGTCTCATAGGGTGGTTTTGAGATGTGAATCACTAAATGTAATGTAAATATATGGCATTAATGAAAGACCTTTTTTCCCTTCCCAGTTCTTCGACTTTGTATTTCTTGTCTTACTGTACTGATTAGAACCTAAAGTACAGAAATGAACTGGCCAGCATCCCTGACTCCTTCCTAATCTGGAAAAGAAAGCTTTCCGTCATTCACTGAGAAGCATTATGTTTGCTTTTTGCCTGAGATTGTCCTTATCTGATTGAGGAATGTCTATTTTTAGTTTGTCAGTAGGATGCTTAATTTTTTTTACATGCTGCTCTCTACATATATTGAAGTAATCAGATTGTTTTTTTCCTATAATCTTTTTTTTTTTTTTTAAACCAGGAATCGAACTTGGCACCTTGTGCTTGAATTTCTGAGATATTCTTTATCTTTTAAAGAGAATGAATATCCTGCAGTGGCCATAACTGTGTGGAACCAGCCAGATATGCACTAAAATGGAAAGGCTGGAACAAAGATAAAGGCCTGAGAGAGCGGAGGACCCACACTTGTAAGGCTCTAACTTGCCAGCTGCTTAAACACACTCTCCCCCACCCCCAGAAGAGCAAAGGCAGTTATCACAGATGTCTAAGTTGAAAATGTCTAAGCTGAGTGGAAAGAAGCTCCCAGGATTCGGGTTACTCACGGGGGTTGTATATTGTCTCAGTCTGAGAAACTGCCCTCTTGCCACATTCATGCTCTGGTAGAACACCTTTAGTGCTTTGGCAAAGTCTCCGTCACAGCTGGCTTGCCGAGTGCACATTTGATTAATCTCACTGGCTGATGGCAGTTGAGCTGTCATCTGAGTTATCTTCAGGGTATTGGAAGGCTGATGGGCTAGGGTAGAAAAGAAAGGTTTATTCATTTCTGTATTTGGTTATCTCGGTACTTATTTATTTTGGTGTCATTCTTGTATATCTGCATTAATAGCATCAGTTTGGACCCATCCCGAGAAATCTCACAGGGAAGAAAAATCTTGGATTGTTTACGAAACAAAATACTGTATACTCATTTTCATGTCTTAGAAAAATATAGGGGCTTGGGAATAAACACAGTCTCTCACCTTGTTGCCCAGAACCAGTTTTCTTCAATGATTCCTTGAGAAGCACATTTTCCTTTCTTAGGGCTCTGTTTATGTTTCTGAGGAGTTCCATCTCCTGCTGTAACTTGAGCATCTTTAGATAAAGTTCCGGTGTTTGATTTGATGTAGTCTACAAAAGATGTCAGTTCAGCTTTTTACTGGTTTGCCTGTGTATCCTTTGAGCCTGACAGTTTTTCCTATCTCATGAAAACCAAGTGGGATCGGGATGGGGGCGGGAGGCGCTGGTGAGCAAGGCTTATCAGGAATCTCTCATGAAAACTTGTTGAGGGGAATAAGCACTGTTGATCCTCAAGCACCTGCCATCTGAGATTTTCTACTCATCTCTGATGCCAGTTTTTATGTCACCTGCACACACCTGACCTGTGTCCTTCACATTGGAAATTTTCTTGGTGTCTATCATGATGTGGCCTTCACCTGTGACCATGAGGTCCAGCTGAGAGCAGCTCAGCTCAGCACAGCCTTCTGTAGTGTGGAAGAACACCAGGAAGAAAAGAAGTCTCAGTTGTCCAGCTCACGTGGGGTGAGGAGATGTCAGACCATGTACTCACCTGCTGCACTAGAACCCAGGAGCCCAGGGGAAAGATGAGTCTTGCCCAGATCAACAACCTCCCTCCTTTCCCTCTTCTGCAGCACAGGCATACTGACATTGTCTCTGACTGAATAGTGCACCATGCAAAAGAAGTGAACATGGTACCTTGAAGGCCCCACAAATCAACTACGAGAGCATTTGTCTGTAAGTAATTCAGAAACTCCCAAGACGCATTGACGGCAGTGAAGTGGAGAGACTCTTCAATTTGGGGATTCACAACTTTCCATACAGGTTTGGTATATAAAGTGATTGGGAGATCATAAATTCTGTAACTGAGAAAAGAACATTAAAATACAATTTAGATTCAGAAGGAGCACATTTTAAAAGTGGGGGGAGGGGTCAATGAGCCAAAGAATTACAACACGTGCAGCAGTTAGAGAAAAGGAGGCCAAGAACCAGTGCTTATGACTGCTGCCTCCACTTAACATCGGTGTCATCACTGCATGACGAACAATGTCTACCAGGAAGAAGGATTTTGTCCATTTAAATACTCTAAAATTGTTAGTTTTCTATGCTAGGTAGTGGCTTAGTTTCTGTTCTTCAAAATATCCTTTTCTTTATCACTTCATCTTTGAGTATGCTTACAGCCTAATCAGTTTACCCATATCTGGTGCATCTGTCATGTTGTAATGCAGTTCTTTTATTTCCAACAAAAACACTGTACTTAGTTAATATAGTTTCACTGGATACTCTTTGTGGTAAGATTAGACTGTACTGCTGCAAACACAAAGGTTCAGTACCCACTGACCAGAGTCCAGTAATATAGAGGGACATGTGGCTTCTGTAGTTAATGGGTGTGGGTAGTCATTTTGCAGTTGGGCAAACAGAGGAAGATTAGCATTTCACGATAAACTCATCTGTTAAACTTGAAGAAGATTCCCTCCCTCCAGGAGTCACACAGTATGAGGTTTGTGCCAGTAATTCTGTGATGTAGGCTGGTACCTTATCTGAATGCCCCTCTTTGCATCTTCCTTTAGCCACTTGATGCCAAGGCAACGGATGATATGAATCTGGAAATCGATCCTCTTGCCCAGCAGCTCCAAGGGGTCAATAACCACATTCTCCTCGCTCTGTGCCCTGCAAACAGAAGAGGTGAACTTTGACTAAATGATGCTGGGTGCAAGCAAGTTAGTATTAGGATTCTATTTCATTCCCTTGACATCATAAGGAATGGCTAATTTCATCAAAGGAAGGATAGGTAATATTACCAGTTGTAGAATTCATTCATTCAACAGACACTTAACAGGAGCCCACTGTACCCTTCTGCTTCAAGGTGATAATGGAGTGTCTCAGGAGCTTACAGCCTGGAGGAAAATGGCTTGTAAACAGCATCATAGTAAATGCACACAGGAGTGGGTGCTAAACTTGCACTGAAGAGTTAGGTGGGTCCCCAAGGGAAGGAAAGCCAACCCAGGTACTGCATCCCAAATTGTTTTGCTGGGTGAATTCTTTTTAGTTCAGAGTTCATCTCAGGACTGCAAGCTTAGATACTAATTTGGACAGCTTTTCAGCAGAGGACCGCTGACAACCAAGCTCACAAAGTCAGACCCATAAATGAGAGTACCACTTTATTAATTTGCAGTGTAACTATTGAGCAGCCTGGAAGGCCTACGTAGCCAAATGACCAGAAGGCTGCTGGAGTCCCAGAAAAGACACCGAGTTGGCAGCTTGGTCTGTTTATTACAGGACGTTAACTTTCTTTATACCCTTTTTGAGCTAGTTTCCTCTTCAGCAAGAGAAAAAGGTGCACTGCATACCTATGAGGTGCTGGCATCTAAACCAGGCCCCTGCCAGCATCTTTAGTCTTTAACTAAAGTTAGTGTTTATGTAAACTGCCTGTGGGCTAAGAGAAAAAAAGCAGACATCCCGAGGGAAGGTAAAAGGTAATAGAACAGAAGTTAGAATGGAGCTGAGAGCTTTAAAACAAAGCCTGTACCCACAGAAGATCAGATAGCCCAGGAAGAGGGCAGGCATCTCAGTCTAATTTGAGGGGGGAAAAAAAAAAGTGGTCAGGCATCTACCAAGGAGAAGGAGTGAGCTAGAAAAATCATCTGTGCTTCTGGCTCCTGGGCCTCATCAGCAGGGTGGGCCATCAGCATTGGACTAGCATCCTGTGTGTGATACCAGACCTCACAGTGTCAGGAGAGGCCATGAGGCAAAGTCCCACAACATGCTCTGGCTTCCTCCTCTGAGGGTCCACTGTTTGGATTCAACTTGGGTTTTTTGGTTCTTGGCCAAGGCTCCTGCTACCCTTCCTACTTCCCTGCCTCTTTGTGGATGACCACCTCATTCCTTTGGTCCCCGGCGCAGTGCTAAGCTGTCTTGAATGCTGCTGGGCACTCCAGGTCAGCTGGTTTGGCCACTATGGCAAAAGTCAGATTCAGTGAGGCCAACTCACAAATGGATGCATGTGTTCATTTGTCTCACAAATGACTACTTCAGGTACCAAACTGACCACCCCCTCAGTAACTCAAGCTTGCTATGTGTGACTGAAACGGAACTAGGGAAGGGGTGAAGGAGATACCCACTGTCCTGCTGGTGAGCAAGGGATGATATGGATGTGCAACACTGCCTCCTCCAGCCCATCACAGTTCAGAAATGCCACTTGGTCCTCAAACTGCATGCAGTAGGCAAGCGACTGGAGCCAAATGTGGGCTGAGCCCAAGTGCACGGTCTCGATGGGATCCCAGAAAGGGTCATCCTCCTGAGCCACAGGGCTGTCTTCTCCATCTAGAAAACGCTGGTAAAGTTCCTCCATTAGGAATTTCCTATTGATAAACTTTGCTTTTGACCAAATCCACACCTGAAAACATAGAGGTAGGACACCGATATTTTATTTTGTCTACTGCTGTAAATGTTCATCTCATTGATCTTTCCCAATGTGATCCCTTCAAGAACACCATGTTCATCCTGGACCTGTTGCCACTTCAGCATTGCTTGAGTTGCTTAAGCCCAGGAATTGACTCAGACAAGATGATGGGAGTGTCAGGAAACACATACTCCCTGGAGAAATGAAGGGTTAGGGTTTATGGCACAAAGAAGAATGTCCTCAAAAGTCCTAATCGCTGGGACCTTTAAATATGCTTACATTAGATGGCAAAGGGAATTAATGTTGCAGGTAGAATTAAATCCACTTATCAGCTAACCTTAAAATGAGATTAGTCTGAATCTTCCAGGTGGGCCCAGTGTAATCACAAGGGCCTTTGATGGGGAACGAGGCAGAAGAGAGAAAGATCTGGTGAAAGAAGCGGGGTCAGAGAGGTGACTTGTGGGTAACTTTGAAGATGGAACAAGATGACTATGCACCAAGGAATGTTGATGCCTCTGGAAGCTGGATAATGCAAGGAAACATCTTCCACTTTGCCCCCAGAGAGCAAGGTAGTCCTCTTGACACTTTGCTTCTAGCCCAGGAGGACCCATGGGCTTCTGGCCCACAGAACTAAAAGGCAGTAAATCTAGGTCATTTAGTGGTTTGTGGTAATTTGTGACACACTAGTAGAAGACAGTGCAGAGGCATATTGTTTGGAGACAATCTGGGAACTCCACAACAGTTTCACATCCATGTGCTGAGGAGACATTGTCCCCAACTCTGCAGGCAAATGTGGCAGGTGTGCTTAGCTCCAAATTTGCGAACCCAAAGAAGTTCCAGTCCTTGTTCAGGGCCTCACTTCCAATGAGCAGCAAATTCAGAGCAAGACCCTGCTGCTCTCTGCCTCTCACTAGTGAAGACAGAGCCTCTGTATCAACACCTGCCGTGGAACAAGGGACAAAATCTTAAACAGCAGCAGGAGGAATTCAATTTAGATAGAATATTTCTTGACTACAAATGTCTTATCAGAAGTAGTTACCAAAGATCTCTCTTTTGACAACTAGAATTTAAAAACCCCAACAGAACACTATGAGGCCCAACAGAGCAGATCAATTAGGCAAGGCAAGAAACTAAAGGGAGAGGGGGAAAAATTAAAAAGAGCCAACAACAGGACACTAACATGACAATAATAAGTCAGTACATATCAGTTATAACCATCAATGTCAATCACTCAATTCACCAATCGAGAAATAGACTGGCAGAATAAATTAAGCAAAATCCAACAATATGTTGTATACAAGAAAAACACCTAGTGCAAAAAGAAGCCCATAGACTAAAGTGAAAGGATGGACAACAGTTCTCCATGTGACAGGAGCCCAGAAAAAAGCAGGAGTAGCTATCTTACTTGCAAGGTAAATTTCAAACCACAACTGATTCAGAGACAAAGCAGGCCTTTAAAGGAAATTTCCTTGTAAAGGAAATAATTCAAGAGGAAGAGATGACAATCATAAATACATATGCACCAAATATTAATGCCCCCAACTATATAAAACAAATATTAAGTAACATGAAAAACCAAATAGGCACTAATAAAATTGTAGTGGGGGACCTAAATACCCCACTATCACAAATAGATCATCTAGGCAAAAAATCAACAATGAAATACTAGAACTGAACCAAGCTTTTGAGCATATGGACTTAATAGACATCTATAGAGTGTTCCACCCCACAAAATCAGAATATACATTCTTTTTGGCTGCACATGGGTCATTCTCCCAGATAGACCACATACTAGCTCATAGAACAGGTTTGAATAAATGAAAAGGAATTGAAGTTATCCCATGTATATTATCAGACCACAGTGCAATTAAGTTGGCGATCAATAGCATAAGAAACTGTAGGAACTTCACAAATACATGGAAATTGAACAACACTCTCCTGAACAATCAGTGGGTCACAGAGGAAATTAAGAAATTAGACAATTTTTACAAATAAATGATAATGCCAATACAACATACAGGAATCTATGGGACAAAATGAAAGCAGTTCTACATGGAAAATTCATAGCAGTGAATGCCCACACTAGGAAAACAGAGCAAGCTCAAACAACCTAATGATAAATCTTAGACTCGTAGAAAAAGAGCAAGAAAAACCCAAAGCTTGTACAGGAGGAAATTATAAAAGATTAGAGCAGAAATCAATGCAATGGAAACTAAGAAAACGATACAAAAAAATCAATGAATCGAAGAGTTGGTTTTTGGAAAGAAGAAAATCGATAAACCCTTACCTAACCTTGTCAAAAAAAGTAAAGGCTCAGATCCATGCAATTAGGAACGAAAAAGGTGAAGTCACAACACATCCAACAGACATCCAGAGGATCATCAATGCCTACTTTGAGAAGCTGTATTCTAATGAAATGGAAAACAGAAGAAATGGACAGATTTCTAGATACTTACGAATTACCAAAGTTGAACGAAGATAAAAAAAATTCTAAACACCCCAATTACAATCAGTGAGATTGAAAATGTTATTAAAAGTTTACCAACAAAGAAAGTCCAGGTCCTGATGGATTCACTGCTGAATTTTACAAGATATGTAGAGAAGAACTACTGCCACTACTCTTTAAACTTTTCCATGAAATTGAAAGGGAAGCAATACTTCCAAATTCATTCCTGGAAGCAAGTGTTACTTTGATTCCCAAACCAGGGAAAGACCCAACTAAAAAAGAGAACTACAGGCCAATATCCTTAATGAACATAGATGCAAAAATCCTTAATAAGATACTGGCAAGCAGAATACAGAGGGTCATCAAGAAGATCATACACCCTGACCAAGTCGGATTTATTCCAGGGATGCAAGGATGGTTCAACATATGTAAATCAATAAATGTAATACAGTGTATTAATAGAGTCAAGGACAAAAACCATATGATCCTCTCAATAGATGCAGAAAAAGCATGTGACAGAACTCAACACCCATTCATGATAAAAAACCTGAGAAAAAATGGAATAGATGGTCTGTATCTCAACTTAATAATGGCTATCTATGAAAAACCAAGAACCAACATCACATTAAATGGCCAAAAACTGAACACCTTCACGTTAAAATCAGGAACAAGACAAGGATGCCCACTATCACCACTCCTCTTCAATATAGTTCTAGCAACATTAGCCACAGCAATTAGACAAGAGAAAGAAATTAAAGCAATAAAGATAGGAAAGGAAGAAGTTAAACTGTCAGTATTTGCTGATGATATGATACTCTACATTGAGGACCCAATAAATTCCACGAAAAGACTTCTAGACTTAATTGACACTTACAGCAGAGTAGCTGGATACAAGGTCAACACTCAAAAATCAATAACCTTCTTGTATACAAATAACAGACTCACTGAGAAATTAGGGAAACAATTCCTTTCACAATAGCAGCCAAAAAATGAAGTATCTAGGAATCAATCTAATGAAAAAAGCAAAAGACCTCTACAGTGAAAACTACAGCACTCTGAAAAAAGAGATTGAAGAGGATATAAGAAAATGGAAAGATATTTGTGCTCCTGGATAGGAAGAATCAACATAGTAAAAATGGCCATATCATCAAAACTGCTATACAGATTCAATGTAATGCTGATTGAAATTCCAACAGTATATTTCACAGAACTAGAAAAAATAATCCAAAAATTAATTTGGAATCAGAAGAGACCTAGAATAGCAAAAGCCATCCTAGGCAACAGAGACATGGCAGCAGGTATAACAATTCCCAATTTGAAACTATACTACAAAGCCACTGTGATAAAAACAGCATAGTAATGGCAAAGAAACAGACCTGAGGACCAGTGGAATAGATTGAAAGATACAAGAACAACTCCACATGTACTCAGCTACCTCATCTTTGACAGAGGAGCCAACCATCCTCACTGGAGGCAAGATAGCCTTTCTAATACATGGTGTTGGAAAAACTGGATTTCAACCTGCTGAAGATTAAAACTAGACCCTTATCTTTCACCATGCACTAAACTAAAATCCAAGTGGATTAAAGATCTAAATATTAAAAAAGACACACTAAATTTCCTGGAAGATAAGTTAGGCAGAACTCTTGAAGAAATTGGCATAGGGAAAGACTTTATGAACAAATCCTCAGTAGCACAGGAACTAGCAGAGAGTATCAACGACTGGGATTTCATCTTATTAAAAAGCTTCTGCACTGCAAAAGAAACCATCAACAGAACTAAGAGACAACCTACAATGTGGCAAAATTTTTTTACCAGCTGCTCCTCAAAGGACTATTATCTAGATTATATAAAGAACTCAAAAAGTCGGGCCCCCAAATATAAAAACCCAATTAAAAAATGGGCACCTGAAATGAGCAGCCATTTCTCAAAGAAGTAAAAGCAGCAAATAAATATATGAAAAAAATGTTCCATATCACTGGTCATTCGAGAGATGCAGGTGAAAACAACATTGAGATTCCACCTCACCCCAGAAAGAATGGCTGCTATGAAGAAATCAACAAATAACAAACGTTGGTGGGGTTGTGGGGGAGAAAGGAACCCTTCTTCATTGTTGGCGGGAGTGCAGACTGGTGCAACCACCATGAAAATCAATATGGAGATACCTCACATAGCTAAGATTAGAGGTCCCATTTGACCCAGCCATTCCTCTGCTGGGTATCTTTCCAAAAGAATCAGGGGCTGAGGATTTGGTGTAGTGGTTCTGCTGCCTGCCTTGCAAGCACAAGGGCTTGAGTTCAATCCCTGGTACAAAAGTTTCATTTTCCCTGGTACCAAACAACAAAGATTGTAGGATAGTTTTTGGGCTGGGGATTTAGCTCAGCAGTTCCACCGCCTGCCTTGCAAATGCAAGGACACAAGTTCGATCCCTGGTACCAAACAAAAAAAAAAGAATCATACTTCAGTGATACATGCACACCCATCTTTATAGCGGCACAGTTTGTAATAGCTACAACTTGGAAACAGCCCAATTGCCCATCAGTTGGAAAGTGGATAAAGAAGATGTGGTTTTTCTATAAAAAGCTACAAAGAATGAGGAATTAGAGTCATTAATAGGAAAATGGATGCATATTGAGGTTATACTCTTAAGTGAAATAAGTAAGTCACACATGTAAAAATACTGAATAGTTTCTCTGGTGTGAACAACTATAATTGTAAATAAGATCCTAATGGTATAATTGACAATGTGAAATAGGAAGAAAAGTGCTAAAGGTATAGGGCAAGTGGGAAGGGTAGGAGAAAGGAAATAAGGGAAAAGAAAAAAATCTGAGAAAATGAAAAAATGGAAATGAAGTTTTTGTAAATAGGGAAGGGACAAGGAGGTGAAGGGAGGGCAGGGACAAGGGGAAAAAATGAGAACTGAGACCTGTCATGTGAAGGTACACGATCCCAATAATGAATGTAACTGTAACTTGTACCTAAAAAGTACCAATAAACTCAATGAGAAAAAAAAACCCAACAGATAAGGCATTCTTTGAGTGTTATATATCTTAATCATCAGGACACTTAAAGACTCAGACAGATCCTATCTCAAAAAAGAGCTGGGGATAAAGATGTAGCTCAGTGTAAAAGCCTATGCAATCCCTGGTACTTCAAAAAAAAGAAAAAAAAAAAAGATTTCTTTCCTTGTGTGCTGCCTCCAGCAAAGTGAAGAACCACAGTACTCTCTCAGTGTTGTGTAAGATCTAATGAGATCATGGTGTTGGCATATGCTACCAGAAGCAGACTGCAACATTATAGCCGTTTGGTTTCTCTTAAAGACTTTTAGGCTAGGGAACAAAGATAATGGGAATAAGGTAATGAAGTATAGCCACTACTTTACTAACTGTGGCTATCAGGCCACAGGCCTGGTGAGGGGTAAAATTAGAAGTCATGATTGGCCTGAGGAGGAAACCAGGCTAGTGAAGCTAAGGGACAGGCTGGACACCAGCATGGGCTCCCTTCCCGTCCCAAGGGAGACTGAGCCAACAGCTTTGGCAAGTGTCACTCTAAAGGAACTGCAAACTGGCAGCCATCACAGCTTAGAAAACCTCCCTAGCCCTTGTAGAGCCCTGGCTTGCCCCGAAACTTGCCTGGATGTGTGACTAACAGTTGCACAAAAGTGACGAGCATTCAGTCCTTTCACTCCAGGGTCGAACATCCACAAGACCACCAAACCTGTATCATGCAGGTCTACCCCTGGGGTCCATGGCTGCTCCCCGTCTTGTCTTTGTCTTTGAACCTTCAGAAGCACACGTGCATGTGTATGTAAACACACACACACACACACACACACACACTGTTATAAAAAACTACCAGAAGTCACTGTCTGCATTCTAGAGGCCTCCAAGGAAAGCAGGACTTCATTTTAGGCAAAGTCACTGGTACTAATCTTATTTTTAAAAATATTTTTTAAACAAATGGACAACTATAACAGATCATTTACAATGAGTCTCTACATTAAAAAGTAGAAGAAAAAAATCATCACAAAACTAGTGCCCAAGCCCTTCGTGAGAGAATCCAGCGTGGCTCATGCAGGAGCAGTCCTGAACTGTGTGTGCTTGTGACAGCGATGCTGGGGTGAAGGAAAATCGTATCTCCAAGTGTCCCCAAGCCCTCAGTTCTCCCACTTCCACATTTTAACAAACAATGTGCAAACTGCCCAGTGTTCTGCTTCTGGTAATGGCAGGCGGTGTAGTTCAGGTAATCCTTCTGCTCGCAACTAGAAAGGCTTCATTAAAACATATTTCTTCAAATTCCCTTAAACAATACAAAAGAACCCCCCCCAATAATATGTATGGATAAAAGATGTAAAAATTACACATCTCCTTAGACTGAGGTCTGACAAGACAGGAGGAAACTGGAGAGGAGAGCGTGGCCCTAGGGAGACCTGTGGGAGATGGTAACGCCAAAGCTGTTTTTGCTGGTGAAGCAACACCGCACAGACACACTCAGGGGTCACCCCCAAAGGCCCCGGGGGTCACAGCACAGATGTCAGGACTCACTGGGGGGCTTTGGGGGGGACCTGAGAGCTGTGCAGTGGATGTAAGCGCAGCTGGCACCAAGCCTACCCCCAGAGTGGAGGACCCCCAGAGTGGAGGACCCCCAGAGCGATCCAGGAGTTCATACCTGGGAGTCAGGATCCTGGCAGTGTCAGCAACTGGCACATTATACCCAGGGAATTGGGTGGTGGGTGTACAGGTGTTTACAATATACATAATGTGAGTGTATACATTTGTAGTCTTTTTCTGTATTTGTTCTATTTCACAATTTTGAAAAGGGTTTAAATAATTGTTCTTAAGGGTTGGGAATATAGCTTAGTGATAACATGTACTTAGCATGTGCAAGGCCCTGGGGTTCAATCTCCAGCACCAAGAAAAAAAATGATCTGAACCCAGAAATTTTTTGGCAATGTTAGGGTAACAAGCAGAGCAGTGAATCCCGGTGTGGTCTCAGATGCTCAGTAGAGCAGACCCCCAAATGGCTGACCCTGGCCCTCCTCTGTAGCCTCTGCTTGGGGCTCTCCTGCTAAGGTGGGTTTATGTTAATCGTTTGGAAGGGACCAGCCTGCCAATGTCCACCAGAGAATTAGCAGTCCCAACCTCATAGGACGGGAGGTTGAGAGTTCACCCGGGCTGTCTGGGGGCTGCTCAAAAAGCATCACACACATAAGGGCCACTACTAGATGGGCCTGTGATGTTCTGGGGCTTAAGTCTATTAAAAAGACCTACCTAGAGGGGATGGCACTGGGATGTGTCTGCCTGTGGAGTCAGTAAAGTGGCCTTTTCCAGTCTTGTGAAAATGTGGGTTTTCCCACTGCTTTAAAATGGCAACTCTGTCTTCTGTGTATACACACACGCGCGTGCATACATACACGTGGGCATGAGCAGTTACCAGCTGGATAAACTTTCAGGCTCCCTTATGATACGACCCTATGTGGGGGTAGGGAGGGGAGGAGAGGGAATATGGAGAGAACCCATATTCAGGGTCCCAGCACACACGAAGTTTTAGTGAAAATAACCTGTGTCCCTAGAAACGCCCCTGGGGAGGCTCGTACCTGCCCACAGACGCAGACCCACCTCACAAGTCTTTTGGTTTGTCACCTTCACCATGACTTCTTTTTGCAGGTCATAGCCCCTGGAATCTGATGATGCTAAGTTCTTCACCTTCAATTCCATTTTAAGTCCCTAGTGGAAAAAATACTTCTCACCAAATAATCCATTTCTAAACTCATATCCCCCTTTTGCAATTCATTTCCCTTGTGGTCTTCGCACACCCAGGCTTTCTAAAACAACATGGTCCAACTCTTTGCTCCTTGGAATTTTACCAAGACAAATGGCAAAACACCAGAATTTCTCAACAATATTCTGGAACAGATGCTTGCATACTTACTAAAATGATTAGTTCTCTTACAAGGTTCCTCCTGACTGAGATTTTGTGTCACTGGCAGCTAACTCCGGCCCCAGGCCTCTCAGTGGTATAGCAGTCATTGTGGAACCCTGGCCCAGAGAGCCATCGGGAGGACAACAGACGGGGTGCTTATGGCACTGGCCCTACGCCAGCAATGGCAGGAACGGGGCCCAGGCTGGCTGTGCAGGCTTGGGTGTTAGTCTAGTTTTTATCACTGTGTGGTGTTGGGAAAACCCCACACCTCTCTAGGCAGCAGGGTCCTTTCTGGACCTGACACTTTGCTGTTTTCTGGCTCTAGATTAATTACCTTCTTTAGCTCTTCACTCATTTGATTTGCTTCTGCGACCAGTGGCATGAGTTTGATGTAGTCCTGGAATGCAGCCAGGACACTGGGGTCTGCTGGGCCATCTCCACTGCTCACAGCACCTGATGGATGGAAATGGAAGCCTGGCATTTGTTCTGTGATACTTTCTAGACATGAATACATTTATTTGCCCATTGGTTCACATAGTTGTCCCTTTCAGCCCTGTCTTGGCTGTACCCCGACGGCTGGGTCTGTGCCTTCAGGTCCCATTTTTGGTCTCAAAAAGCCTTTGACTCAAAGTGACTCCAGATGGTGGTGGGTGATGATATCCATTTGGCTAATGATTTATCCTGAAATTTCACCTAGCACAGCAGAGCAACCTGTTCTTTCTTCTAGTGTATTTGGGTGCCTTGAAGGAGGGGGTCATGGAGATTATGGGAGGCCAAGTCCCCTCCCAACATGGGTCTGTGTTACCTCTTTGGGAACTCTTGGCGCTGCCGGTCCCTGCTCGTGGTTCACAGTCCTGGTAGCCCTGCAACCTGACTCCCCAGGGTGCCCACAAACCTGCCACGGTCATTGCTAGCACATGAGCACCTTCAACCCAGAGTCTGAGGCTGGCTCAGCCTGGCCTGTGCTGGAAGTCAGTTGTGCAGTCAGCCACTGTGAATAAATGGGTGAACAGGTGGAGTATCCAGCCTGGTAGTACTGAGACTTGTTTGGCTTTGATCAAGAACATTAGCAGAAAAAGAGCAAGGAGGCCAATCAGTTTATTTTACTAAAATTCTGAGAAAGCCTCTTTGGTGTAGGGAGAGGGGAGGAACTCGCTGCATGTATGTGGTAGTATCCTCCTCTCTCCACCATGGCTTAAGGTGAACAAAGCGTAGGCGTCTCCTGGGAAGCCAACACATCACGGGCACCTCAGTGGGGTCCACCCTCTCTGAACACAAGCAGAAGGCAGAGCTTCTGAATGTCTCCACCCAGGAGCCCTAGATTATTGAAGGGGCAGAAGGCCCCTGACTGGGACAGACCACCACCAAAACCTTATTTCAGCATTTCCTCCACTCACTGCATATACGACTTCTCTATACTCCTTTGAGCCATCTGTACCCTTATTCCTAAGGGAAACAGTTCGATGAGTTAAACAAATCTTTGATGTGGACTCACCCTCTGTTTGTATGGGAATCATATTTTAATTTTGAGCACACTGTATTCTGTTTTGGGGTTTTTTCCTATGGTACTGGGGATTGAACTCGGGACCTTGTACTTGCAAGGCAGGTGGTGGAACCACTGAGCTAAATCCCCGGCCCAGAACACTGTATTCTGACACAGTAAAACATGGTTTTCTTAAGGAAAGCAAAAGGGAACACAGTGAAAGAAACTGCTCTCAAATGGGCACATGGAAGAGGCCAGAAGCTGGCTTGGGTGCTCACCAAGCTTGTGCACACTCACTCCCTCTACGGCTGCCCTCTCCAGCTGGAAAAAGTCATAGTCAAATCTGCTCAAGTCCTCACTGCCTCGCTCAGAAGGAAACCCAATGTAGAGGTAGGCACTGTTGGATCCCAAAATGATGCGGTCCTAGAGAGAAGACACAGACACAGAGGTGGACTTCAGTGGGGTTAGCCTCTGAGGAGACGTCAAGGTCCTGTGCCTTGCACTAGATGGTTCTGAGAAACAGCTTTCCTCGGGAAAGCCTCCAAACAGGGAAGAGAGCCATGAAAGAGGAGGGAAAGGAACCATCTTGCTTTTGTGTGCGGCTCTTCTTCCACCCAGCCAGCACTGCCTCCCTGCCAGGCACTGAGGCATCAGCAGAGACCAAACACTGGAGGATGGAAGGAATAACTGTGAAATCAGAAAAAGTGAAAGAAAAGCACAGGGCTCAGCAGTGTCCAAGAGGCCTTCCACACTGGGGACAGAAGTCCTCGTGCAAGATAGAAAATTAAGCAGAGATCTTGAGTGTGAGATACTTTGGTGGGCAGGCACAACCACTGCTGAACAAGCAAGAGGCAGTCAGTGTTCCCAAGGCACTCAAGGAGGTAGAAGGCAGGGGGAGCTCAGGCAGGAGCTCAGGAGGTCACTGAAGGGCTTCCGGAAGAGAATGACTGAACTGATTTGCCATTCTAAAAGGTTCTCTGAGTACAGGTGTGGGGGACAGACTGGAGAGGAGAGAGCCACAGAGGACAGCTGGGAGTCAGCGTGCAGAGACTTTGATGACAGTGGAGATGAAGAGGCTCTGATGTTTGCAAGAGGTGCCATAGTCCCTCCCAAAGACAGGCTCTTAAAACCTCACACATCGTAAGTGTGAGAGCTGGAAGATATGCTGGACACAAGTAGTCCCCCCTCCATTTTAGAGATGAGGGCCAGAGAAGTGAAGTGACTTACCTAAGGACAACAGCAAGTTAGGAGTTCGTCACCCCAGCAGCTGTGCGCTCAGATCCTACTATGAGCTATAGCAGAAGCCTGCAAGGTGGAAGTGTCCATCCATACCCTGTCCGCCTTGGCATGAATCTGGGTTTCTTCACATAAACTTCCTCTGCTAGCTCTTGGGGGGACTTAGGTACCTTCTCCTAGCTCTTGGGGAGACTTAGGTAACTGTGTGACCCAGCAGGAAATTTACCAAATGATGCAGCTTTGTCCTGGTTGTAGTAGGCACCCCGTTGATGACAACCTTACATTTGCTGTATGGAGTGACTGTCACGTTATCATCCAAATTCGTGAAGGAAGCGTGTTTACCTGAAATTCTAAGAAGACAAGAGTTTGCCCCAGTCACCCAGGGAGTTACAGTTTCAGGGACAGTTAGGTTGTTCTCATTTGCATGACATGTAAGATCTCCAGCTGCTGCAGAACAGTGGGAAGGTTGGCTGGGGCCTCCTGAGTATGTGGAGACAAAGCAAAGAGCCCTGCTTTGAGGAGCACAGGGAGGTGGAAGACAGCAAAGCAGTCATTTTATTAACAGAACAAACCCCAGCTAAGGGTCTAGAGCTGTAAGGAACCAGCAGACACAGAGGTCACTGTGAATCTTCAAAAGCTCACAGGCCAAGGTAAAACGAAAACAGAAATGTTTCAGTAGTCAAGATATGGGATCAACCTAGGTGTCCTTCATAAAGAACGCGTGGTATATATTCACCAGGGAATATTGTTTAACCACCACCAAAGAATGAAACCCAGTTATTTTCAGCAACATGGATGGAAATGGAGGACATTCTGTTAAGGGAATATGTCAGGCACAGGAAGACAAGTACAGCATCCTCACTGGCGTGGAACTAAAACCCTGATTTCAAGGAGATGAAGAGTCGACCACTGTCAGCAGATCCTGGGAAGGGAGTGGGGGAGGCAGGGGTGGAGAGAAGATGGTTAATGGATATAGGGATGGAAAGGGAAGAACAACTTCTAAAATTCTACAGCACAGCAGGAAAACAATGGTTTATAACAATCAATTGAATATTTCAAAATAGCTAACAGGATTTTGAATGCCCTCAACACAAAGAAATGATAAATGTCTAAGGGTGACTGATACTCAGATTACCCTGCTCTGATCATTACCCATTGCATACATGTATGGAAATGTTACACTGTACCCCATAAATGTGTACAATTACTGTGTCAAAAATAAAAAATAGAATCAAGTGATAATGCCAGTAAAGCACACCAGTACTTATGGGACACAATGAAAGCAGAACTAAGAGGGAAGTTTATAGCTGTAAATGCCTTAGCAGAAAAAGCAGAGCAAGCCCAAATAGATAACCACATAAAGCACCTCAAGGACCTAGGAAAACAAGAACAATCTAAATCCAAAGATGATACAAGGAAGAAAAATATAAAGATCCGAGCAGAAATTAATGAAATAGAGATTAGAAAAATAATACAAAGAATTCATGAATCAGAGATAGTTCTTTGGAGGACTGTACCAAATTGACAAACCCTCAGTCAATCCTGCCAAAAAAGGAAAGACAAGACCCAAATCAATGCAATCAAAAATGAAAAGATGAAATCACAACAGAAACCTTTGAAGTCCAGAAGATTATTATCAACTACTTTGAAAACTTGTACTCCAATAAATCCAGAAGAAATAGGTAGATTCCTAGATAAAAAAGAATCACTGAAGCTGAAACAAGATTTAAAAATCTTGAATAGTCCAATAACAGGCAATGAAATTGGGGCAGTGATTAAAAAAAACTTACAAACTAAGAAAAGCCCAAGTCTTAATGGATTCACTGCTAAATTCTATAATAATTTCAGGTGAAGCCGGGTATGGTGGCGCACGACTGTAATTCCAGCACTCGGGAGGCTGAGGCAGGAGGATTGCTGTGAATTCAAGACCAGCCTGGGCTACATAGTAAGTTCCAGTTCAGTCTCAACTACATAGTGAGGCCCTGTCTCAAAAAAAAAAAAAAAGAATTTCAGGTGAAACTTAATGCCATTATTACTCAAATTCTAATAAAATTGAAAGGGGAGGAGTAGTCCTAAAGTCATTCCTGGAAACTACCATTATCCTGATTACAAAACCAGATAGAGATCCAACCAAAAAAGAGAACTGTAGGCTAATATCTTTAATGAACATAGATGCAAAAATACTCAAAAGATCCTGGCAAACAGAATGTAACAAATCATCAGAAAGATCGTACATCATGATTAAAAATAGCTTCATTTAAGAAATGCAAGGATAGTTCAATACATGCAAATCAATAAATGTAATCCATCACATATACAGATGCAAGGACAAAAACCACATGATAATCTCAATAGATGCAGAAAAGGCCTTTGAAAAAATTCAATATCCATTCATGATGAAAAGAAACCTGAAAAAAATAGGGATAGAAGGAACTAATCTCAATCTGATAAACGTCATTTATGACAAGGCTACTGGCAACATCAGATTAAATGGAGAAAAACTGAAAGCTTGCCATCTAAAATTAAGAACAAAACAAGGATATCTACCATCACTATGCCTATGAAACATTAGAGCAATCAGGCCAGAGAAATAAATAAAAAGGATATAGATAGGAAAGGAAGAAGTTAAATTATCACAATTTGCAGATGTCATGATGCTCTACACAGAAAACTCAAAAAATTCCACCAAAAGACTTCTGGAATTAATAACCAAATTCAGCAATGTAACGGTACAAAATCAACACACAAACATGAACAGCAGGGCTGGGGGTTTAGCTCAGTGGTTCTGCTGCCTTCCTTGCAAGTGCAAGGACCCAAGTTTGATCCCCGGTACCAAAAAAAAAAAAAAGAGAACAGCATTCAGGTAGATAACGAACTTACTGAGAAAGAAATTAGGAAAACAATACCATTCATAATAGCATCAGGAAAAAAAATATTTAGAAATTAACCTAACAGTGGGCATCTGAAATGAACAGACACTTCTTGGACAGACAAGTAAAAGCAGCAAATAAATACATGAAAAAATGTTCAACATTACTGGTCATTCAAGAGATGTGATGGAAACCACACTGAGATTCCACCTCACCCCAGAAAGAATGGCTACTATCAGGAAATCAATCAACAACAAATGCTGGTGGAGTTGTGGGGAGAAAGGAACCCTTCTCCATTGTTGGTGGGAGTGAGGACTGGTGCAAGTACTGTGGAAATCAATATGGAGATACTTCAAAGAGCTTGGACTGGAGGTTCCATTTGACACAGCTATCCCTCTGTTGGGTATCCTTCCAAAAGAACAAAAAAAATCATACTACAGCAATATACATGCAACCATATTCATAGCGGCACAGTTTGTAATAGCTAAAACTTGGAAACAGCCCAGTTGCCCATCAACTGGAAACTGGATAAAGAAGATGTGGCTTTCTATGAAATGGAGTACTGCTCAGCCATAAAGAATGAGAAATTAGTCATTTATGGGTAAATGGATGCATATTGAGCCAATACTCATAAGCAAAATAAATAGGAAATGCATGTAAATACTGAATAGTTTCTCTGGTGTGAAAAACTAAAAGTTAAATGAGATTCAAATTGTATAATTGATAATGTGAAATAGGAAGAAAAGGGCTAAAGGAGAAGGGGAAGTGGGAAGGGTAGGGGAAAGGAAAGGGAAAAGAAAGAATATGAGAAAAGGAAAAAATGGAAACAAAGTCTTTGTAAATAGGGAAAGGTGGAGGGGGTGAAGAGAGGGCAGAAGTATGGGGAAAAAATAAGAACCAAGATACATCATGTAAAGACACAAGAACCCAGTGATGAATGAAACTGTACTGTATACCTAAAAAGTACTAATAAACTTAATGGAAAAAAAGAAAGAAATTAACCTAACAAAGGAAATGAAGACCTACAATGAAAATGACAGTACTCTGAAAAAGGAGATTGAAGAAGACATCAGAAAATAGAAAGATGTCCCCTGTTCCTGGATAGGCAGAACAAATATAGCCAAAATGGCCATATTTCCAAACTGATATACAGATTTAATGCAATCCCAATTAAAATACCAATAGCATTTCTCACAGGACTAGGAAAAAAAAAAAAAGAATCCTAAAATTCATATGGAACCAGAAGGGACCCAAAATAGCAAAAGCAATCCTGGGCAACAATAGCAAACCAAGAGGCATTATAATCTCAGCTTTCAAGTTATATTAAAAAGCTACAGTGATAAATACAGTAATGGTACTTATACAAAACCAGACAGTGGATCAGTGGAATAGAAGAGAGGATGCAGGAATCAACCTCAGGCATACTCAGCTACTGGATCTTTGACCAAGAGGCCAAAAACTCAGGAAAGATAGCCTCTTTAGCAAGAGGGTTCTGGGAAAAATGGCTCTTCACATGCAGAATATTGAACCTAGATCCTTATATCTCACCATGTACTAACCTAAAATCAAAATGATCAAAGATCTAAATACTAAAACAAAAACAATCTTTCGGGAGACAAAACAGATAAAAGCCTTGAAGAGATGGACAAGGACTTTTTGAACAGAACATCAATTGTGAAATAACATTAAGAATCAACCAATGAAAAACCTTCTGCACAGCAAAGGAAACAACAAACAGAATGAAAAGTCAAACTACAGAATGAGAAAAAAATTTTGCCAGCTATTCCTCAGAGGACTAATGTCTAGAATATATAAAGATCTTAAAAGAAATCACCCCCCCCAAAATAAAAGGCCTAATCAAAAATGGGCAGGCTGAGGATTTGGCTCAGTGGTTCTGCCACCTGCCTCGCAAGTGCAAGGTCCCAAGTTTGATCCCCAGTACCTAAAAAAGGGCAAGTGAAATGAATACACAGTTCTCAGAAGATGTATGAGATAGCCAGTGTTAAATACAAGAAAAAAATGTTAAACATCTCTGGCCTTAGAAATGCAAATTAAAACAACTCTGAGATTCTTACTCCATAAAGAGTGACTGTCATCAAGAAATCAAATAACAAGTGCTTGTGAGGCTGCAGGGTGGGGGTAGGGGAGGAACCCTCCTACATTGTTGGTAGGAATGAAAACTAGTATACCATTATGGAAATCAGTATGGAGACTCCTTAAAAAACTAAAACATGAATCCCATCTGACCCATGTTATGGCTTGTGTCTAGCTGTCCCCTCAAAGCCTCATGTTGTTTGTTATAGGTGAAGCTTTTTGGAGGTTGCTGGATCTAGAGTGTGTGATGCTGGAAATAAGAATGGGATACTGGGATTGATTCATGGAGAGATGCTAAGATTAAGGCTGCCCTACCCTGAGTGTGACTGTGAACCACCCCAAGGGTGGGTCTCCTGGATAGAATATAAGGGACAGAAAGAAGGCTGCTGCTGTTGTTGCTTGCTGCTTTTACTGCCTTCTGCCTGCCATGAACTGTTTCTCCTGTGCGGTGCCCTTCTGCCATGCCACCCAGCCTTGGAGCCAGCTGATTATGGACTGAAACCTCTACAAACTGTGAGCCAAAATAAACCTTTACCCATTTAACTTTGGGTGTCATGTATTTTGTCTTAGCAATAAGAAAAGTAACTGAGACAAGCCAGCTATTCCTTTTTAAGGTATCCTTCCAAAAGAGGCATCACATTACAGTGACACATGCATACCCATGTTTATAGCAGCACAATTCATAATAGCTAAATCTTGGAAGTGGTCTATATGTCCACCAACAAATGAATAAAGAAAACATATTTATATATAATAGAATACTACACTACCCTAAAGGATAAACTTGAGGCATTTGTAGGAAAATGGATGTACCTTGATATCATGGTGTTAAGTGAAATAAACCAGACACAAGCTTAAATAAATACTACATACTTATATGGGGACACAAAATATAAATAAAGAGCAAAATTAAAGATACTAGGAAACAGGGAGATAGATCTTTTACAAATGGGAAGGGGACCGAAAGATGGAGGGAGGGAGAGGAGGGAAAAAGGATGAAGAAAGAATTACGCTGTGTCATGTACATGTTCAACTCCCCATAAGGAATGCGATGCAGACATGTATAATAAAAAACAAAAATGGAAAAAACACACAAAAATATTTTTAAAAAGATGTTTCAGAAGAAATGCTTGGGAGGGTGATTTCACAAAGAGGTTACATAGCATAGGAAAAATGTAGATCTGTTTCTGGGTCTTTAGCTATATAAATCCAAATTATATATGTTACAAGATTTGGGGCTCAGTGTCAGAGGTGTCAGTGTGACTGCTGCCTGATGACATCTGTGTGCCCCAAACGGCTTCAACTGTTCTAGAATGTTCCTGGACTCACTGGCTGTCATGGGGAGTTTGGGATGCTGAGCCATGTGCCCATCCACATCCCTTGTTTGTATGGGGTTCAGGGTTCCTGTGAGGGAGTTTTGATCTTAGCTCATTAAGGGAATTTGGCCAGTTATGGTCCCGAGGGTTGGGCTAAGGGAGTGGTGCGGAAAGGAGATGAGTAGAATCCTTAGGAAGAGGCCCAGAGAAAGCTATTGGGGCAGGTCAGAGGGTGCCAATGGTCCCTAGGTCAGCACATCTCCCACGAGGAGGATGTGCTCTGCCCAGGAGGCCCGAGGCACTGTGGGAAGGCTGCCAGGGAGGCTTCTTTCTGAAAGAGCCAATCACACCTGCAGGTCAGAGACCTGTGGGCAGTTGGGAAACAGTGGTCCTGGGAGCAGGAGAGAGAACCCCAGGGCACTGGCCTCCCAAACAGAAAGGCACAGAGCTTGGGGACTCTGATTGTGTCAGACCTGCCCTAGGGTTTCATACACTCTTGTGGGGACTCCTCAGGGAGTCCTTGGAGGAAGGAGTCACCCAAAAATGTAGGCTTTCCACCACCTGCTAGTCCCGTCAGTGAGGGTTCCAAGCACTAAGGTCTGAGGATGCAGTTGCCTTTGGAGATGAGACCATGAAAGATACGGGCCACCGCCATGGGCTTGCCCTTCCCAACTGTTTCCTGGCCAGATCTTATTTCTGTTTGTGAAGAATCGCCACACAGACTTTTGTCACTGACATCCCCTGATCTCCCAGGACCAGAGCGGAGGAAGCAGTGAGCCCAGGCCAGTAGATTTCAGAGAACAAGAAGATCCTTCCTAACGTTGTTACACAGCAGGTTATGAGGGAGGACCTCTCATTGTCCAGCAGGCTCTGTGGCCTGGCTGGCCAGGGCAGATGACCTTCAAGTACCTCCTCTGCATCAAGAAGTCCTAATTTCCTAATGCTGGACAAGGACCTGATTTACAGAAACTTACCCCAGGCCTTGAAGAGTGATGGCATTGGAAGCAGCCTGACCAGCATCACACGAACCTGAAAAGTTAAGACAGCTCACCCTCAAATGCCAGGACTTGACCGAACAGGGCAACATATGTGGTGTTGAGAAGTGACCAAAGTTTTCTCTACAGTGGGATCACGTGAGGGGATTTTCCGGCTGGGGTTGTCAATCATAATGGTACCTGGATATGACTTTGCCTTATGGATTTTTTTTAACCTTCTGCCTTTTTTCATGGTATTTCCTAGCCTTTTGAAAGTTGTACTTTCTTCGTGGGCATTTTGGAGAAAGAAAACAGAAGGCACTGATTCTTAAAAGACACCGTGAAGCCTGTCACAGGTAAGTCTCTTTGAGGCTCCGGCTCCATCTAGTGACAGCCGCGGGGGGCATGCTGGGTGTCACCTACAGCTTTGGGTGACCCTGGACAACTCGTCCTGGCCTCTGCTACCATCCTGGAACCCATGCCTATCTTAGAGACAGGGGCCCCTTCAACACTGGGGACTGCATTCCAACATACTCAGTTGTTCACTTAAGTCAGAGAGGTAGCTCAAGGTTCCGAAAGCATGAAACAAAGATGTGGTAAGAACCATGCCGGCTCTGTGCTTCCTCCCTGCCAGGATGCATCTGCAACACTGAGAAGATTGCTTTGGGCACTGGATGGAGCCCGCCCCTTCTTAACAAATTTGGAGCTGGAACACCTGCTGATTTTATGTCTCTAAACTTTGCCCCTGGGCTGGATACAAAGTCTGTCTCCAGGCAGATGCACTCCCGAGTCTAATTTATACTCTAAAGCTTTCTGAGAGACTTCTCTTGAAAGCACCCTCTTTCCCCCAAAATAAGACCTCAGTGAAAAATAATCAGTTTTGGAAAGTAGAGATCAAAAATGCCAGCCCCGATCAGCCTGTCTTTGCCTTACTTGGGATCACTATTCTCTTGCTTAGTGCTATTCCGTAAGGCACAGAGAGGATAATTGGGGCTGGCATTTTTGATCTCTAGTTTTCAAGGCTGATTATTTTCCAGTGAGGTCTCGTTTTCGGGGAAACGCATTATACCCTTCCTTGCCTAGCTCCTTCCCTGTTTCTATGTCCGCTCCCCGATTCCCTCACTGGATTCTCCCCAGAGCAAACCTTTAACAAATCATCTCTCAGTGGCCTGCCTTGCAAGCACAAGGACCCAAGTTCAATCCCCAGTACAAAAAACAAAACAAAACAAAAAAAAAACAAATCATGTCCACCTGAAGCACTGTCTCAGGGTGTGCTGAGAAAATTCCACCATACACACCAGGCTAACCTTGGCCTCTTTTAGGAAATGAGTATATCAGTGATTCGTTATATACATTTTTGCATTAATTAAAATAATATATCTTACTTTTTAACTTAAAAATACAAAATATTTTAATGGAAAAAGGACCATGCCTGGATAATAGATAAATAAAATACGGTATATGTGTACAACAGATTATTCAGTCTTTAAAAAAGGAAATTTTCGTATGTTCTACAACATGAATGAACTTAAATCAGTCCCCATAGGACAAATGCTGTATGATTCTACTTATACATGAATTAACTGGAATAGTCAAATTCACAGGCCCAGAACCAGAATGGTGGTTTCCAGTGGCTGGAAGAGTAGGGAGTTAACTTTTAGTGTTTCAGTTTGAGATGATGAGAGAAAGTTCTGGAGATGGATGCTGGTGATGGTTACACAAGAGTGTGAAGGTGCTCAATGCCCCTGAATTATACTCTTAAAAATAGCTAAAGTGGTGAATTTTGTTATATATATTGTACTACAGATTGTTGGAGTTTTTGTTTGTTTTGTTTTTTTTGGTGGTGTTGTTTTTGAGACAAGGTCATGCTATGTAGTTCAGGCTGGTTTAGAACTCACTGTGCAACCCAGGCTGACTTTGAACTCCCAGCCATCCTGCCTCAACCTCATGAGTACCCAGCATTAAAAATCAAAAAAGCAGGGAAAGGAGGAGGGTGGGCAGGGAGGAAACTGTCTCTGGGCCAGAGGCAGAGCAGGACCGGGGCAGAGCAGAGTGAATACCCGCGCGGATGAAGTACTTGAGGACCCCTGTGAGCTGTGGGTCCTCATTGACATTGAGAAGGTAAGGGAGGGTTGTCGTCAGCTGCCGCTCCTGCAGGAGAGATGGAGAGAGTCACATCACCGGTGCGCCCTCCCTGTCCACCTCTGCACTGGGCCGTGTTCGGAGAAGGCCACGCAGGGCTGGGACACCTGGAGTCCACAGCTGAGTGCATCTGGACAGGGCTGTTCTAAGGCACAGCCACCTGCCATCCTTTCCCCTCATCAGCTGCCCGTGTGCTGCCCCCCTCCTGCTCCATCAGTCTCTTCAGCTCCTGGCATCCCCAGCAGCCCCACTCCTGGCTGTCTGGATGCCCCTCTGCCGGGTCCCCTTTAATCCTTCCTTTAACCCTTTAACAGAGCCCTGCTGTTGGCTAACCGGTGCCCAGCTGTTGATGGCAAAAAATGACACTGAATTTACCTAAGTGCATTTCATTCTTTTGTTTGTGTGTTTTGTTTTTTTGAGACAGGGTCTCACTATGTAGTTGAGACTGACCTGGAACTCACTGTGTAGTACAGGCTGGTCTCAAATTCACAGTGATCCTCCTGCCTCAGCCTCCTGAGTGCTGAGATTACAGGTGCGTGCCACCATGCCTGGCTTGAGTTTCATTCTTTAAAGCAAGTATTGGCTGGTATGCTGATAGAGGACAGCTAGCCATACAAGACTGGGATAAACTCTATAGGCACAAGGAAAGTGTGTGTGTGTGTGTGTGTGTGTGGTGCTGGGGATGGAACCCAGGGCTTTGTGCATGCTAGGCAAGTGCTCTGCCACTGAGCCACACCCCTAACTCCATGCAAGGAGAACTTTTAATTCTTTGGTGGAGGAGTTGAGCCAGGGTCTCGCTATTAGTTCAAGCTGGCCTCATCCTCACCATGTAGCCCAGACTGGCCTCAAACTCACAGCAGTTCTTCCTCAGCCTCCCAAGTGCTGGGATGACTGGTGGGCTTAACTCTTAAAATCCATTCTGATCAAGGGTAAAAAGGATAAAAACCCTTCTAAGTGGTATTATCCATGCAGAGCACAAATCCTGCACACCTGTGCTGAGTCCCACTTGGCCCAAGAGTCGCAGAGCCCGCCACCCCTTACACAGGATGCTGCTTTAGTAGGGCTTCCAGCGGCACCCCACCTTGTCCTGCCTTTAGAATCCTTGTTCCCTAACTCTATCCGGCCTCCGACCCACACACTCCACTCTTGTCTTTGACCTATTCTAGGCACCTGAGCCTTCCAGTCCAGGGTGGGCTCTCCCACCTGTCCCTGTTCCAGGTCCCATGGGTGACTTTGGGATGTGCCTGGAGCCTGTGCCTGAAAAGCTGTGGTGGGGCGGGAGTGGCCGGGGAGGCAGGCAGGCCCCTCCCTCACCCGGGAAGCGATTCGAATCACAGCCGGGAGGCTGGGGTGTAGCTCAGCCAGAGTGTGGAGAGACATTCTATATAATCTTGGGGGAAGAACCATTTCCTAATTTAATTGCGATTAGGGCTCCTCTGAGGCCTAGAGTCCTGCCACTCGAGTGGGCTATGGTAGGTGGAAAGGGAAGTTCGCTTTGTCTCCAGTGTAGGGCTGTGAAGCTCCAGGGCAAGAGTACATTACCTGAAGATATCCTGGTTCCTTGAAAACTGAGTAGTAACAACAAAAAGAGTTTGGTCTGGGGGAAAGGACAAACTCCTTATTAACCTATTTCCTCCCATCTGCTATTGTAAGAATGCTTTGCCCACCCTACCATCCTCATCAACCTAAGATCATCGCTGCCCTCTGAGTAACCTGGTACACCTGATTATTATGCACCCAGTAAATAGCAGCTGTCTCCAAGTGTCTTTGTCTTTGGTCACTCTGGCCTCCCAACCTCCTAACCTCCCACGTACTTGCAAAGTGTGTTTTTGTCTTTTTTTTTTTTGTACCAGGTATTGAATGTAGCACCTTGCGCTTTTGAGCCAGGCCGTGGCACCACTGAGCCAAATCCCCTGCCCATTTGTCTTTCTTTCTTTATCCTTTGCTTTACCCCTCTCTAGGCAGATCAGGGGACTGATCAGCTTCCGATAGCAGAGGACTTGTCTAGATTTTGCAAAGTCCTGGGTTCCAACTCCAGCACCAGAAAAAAAAAAAAAATCTAAATTTGCATCACAGGCCATTGTGATCTATATTGGCAGTAAGTGGCAGGAGGGACACCATGGCTCAGGTTACTCCTACCGTCCCAGAGGACAAATCACAACCCTCAAATTCTCCCCGAGAGTCACCAACAGCCCTCAGTTCCTCCCTCAACCTCACTCATCAGTGTAGACTGAGGCCTCCTCGGCTCCCTTCCTTTCATGCCCTCTCTCTCCCCCCTTAGCTCGGCCAGTAACAAGTCCTGCACCCCATTTCACCGTTCACCAACAAAGCCCACCGCCCCTGGGGTCCCCACATCCGGGGTGGAGACGGCCCTTGGCAGGGAGAAGGGAGCTCACCAGGGCCGTGACCGCGTACTGCTGCTCCCAGTCTCTCCACGCCTGCTCCAGCAGGTGTGCCCAAGTCCCCTGGGCAGCAAGAGTCCCCAGCTGGTGTTCTGCCAGGAAAGAGCAGAGGATTTAAACCACAGGAGGAGGGAGGATTGTAAGCACCAGCCCAGAGGTGTCAGAGATGAGGTGTGGAGTCACTACAGGACTCTGAACTGGGTTCTCGGTGAAGACAGGGGAACCCCAGGGAGGGGAAACTGAGCTGCATTAAGTGTGAAAAGCTCATTTGCTAAGTCCTACGATGAGCAGTGCCCCCATGTAACTCACAAGGCATTAGGGCAAGAAGGTCCTTCCGAGGGGAGATATTCTCTTCCTCCTTCCTGTATCCTTATGAGGGTTTTCTTCTCACACCATCACTGCAGGGAATGCCCGCCCACAAGGCCACGGGATTTAGGAAGAATCAGATTTATATTACGCCGTCTTTCATGTATTTCGTGTCTCCATTTATGAATAATGGGAATTAGATGCCACATGTTGGTCAACATCCATCACATCCAGGTTTTAGTGTTAGAGACACTTGTGACAGTCAGTTCCATGCCTGGACCGGCCAAGTGCACCGATGCTAACTCAGGAAGTGCTTTGCTGAGAGGAAGCCTGGAGACGTTTCTGGCAGGGCTGTCTAAACCACTCGGACTGTTTCTGTGATGGCTGGGACCATGAAGAGGCAAGGTGGGGCCACCAGAGTGTCCAGCTGGGGAGGGGTCAAGGGACAAGGGCCAGGAGCAGCGGTGTTACAGAGCACTAAACACAGATGTTTGGAGCTTTTTTTTATGTTGTTCTCTTGATGTTGAACACCTTACCAATCATACATCAATAGTTTTCTAGCTTACCTGTATCATCCATCCCATTTTAAACCATTAATGGACTTCAAATGTACCTATGGTATAAAATATATGGTGACTCTTTATTTGAAAAGATTACGGTAAAAGACACACTGCCATTAATCCCTTCAAAGTACTCTCCCCGGCCTTGAACACACTGATCTCATCCTTCAGCCCACTGTCTAGAGAAGTTCTGCAAGTCCTCTTTCCTGAGTGTCTTTATTCCTACCGTTGTGGCTGCCTCAGTGTCCTGAATCAATGTTAAATGTTTACTTTTTGTGGGCATTTTTATTTGAGGGAAGAGCCAAAGATCACATAGTGCCAGATCTGATCAATAAAGTGGATGAGGACACATTGTAATGTTTTTTACAAGGCTACCTTTCCACTGGCAATTGGCAGCAACATTCACCAAAAAAAAATTTTTTTTTTTTTGGTACCGGGATTGAATTCAGGATGTTGTGCTTACCAGGCAGGTAGCAGAACCACTGAGCTAAATCCCTGGCCCCACTAATCTTTGACCGTAGAAACACTTGTAAAGGACTTTTATAACTGCTTCAGACAATGGCAAGGATTATGGGATCATTTATGACAAAGCAACACTCAACAATCATCATATTGAATGGAGAGAAGCCAAAGGCTTTCTAAAATCAGAAACAAGACAGGATGTCCATTGTCACCACTACTGTTTAATATAGTTCCCAAAACATTAGCCAGAGGATGCAGGCAAGAGAAAGAAATAGAGGATGTGTATAGAAAAGGAAGAAGTCAAATTATCATTATTTACAGATGACGTGATCCTCCACACAGAAGATTCAAAAATTCCACCAAAAGGCTTCTAGAATTAACCAAATTCAGCAATGTAACAGGGTACAAAATCAATACACAGAACAAATAACATCCCTGTACACCAATAAGGAATTCACCCAGAAAGAAATTAGGAAAACAAAGCCTTTCACAACAGCATCAAGAAAAAGTAAATACCTAGGAATTAACCCAATAAAAGAAGTTGACAATGAAAACTATAGTACTCTGAAAAAGGAGATCCAAGAGGACATCAGAAAATGCAAAGATATTCTCTGTTCCTGGACAGGCAAAACAAATATAGTCAGAATGGCCATACTTCCAAAACTGATACAGATTTAAAGCAATTCCAATTCCAGTACCAATAATATTTCTCATAGAACTAAAGAAAATAATTCTAAAATTCATATAGAACCAGAAGACACTCAAAATATCAAAAGCAACCCTGGGCAACAAGAGCAAGGCAGAAGAAATCACAACTCCAGACTACAATTTATATTACAAAGCTACAGTAATAAAAACAGTATGGTATTGGGCAAAAAGCCCAGACATGTGGATCAATGGAATAGAAAAAAGGATGCAAAAATAACTTTAAGCACATTCAGCTACCTAATCTTTGACAAAAGGCCCAAAAACTTATGCTGGAGGAAAGCTACTCTCTTCAACAAATGGTGCTGGGAAAACTGGCTATCCATACGCAGAAGATTGAACCTACAGCTAGACTCATTTTTCTTACCATGTATTAAACAAATTAAGATGAATCAAAGATCTAAATATTAGCATAGAATCGATCTGCTGGAAGATAAAATAGATAAAACTCTTGAAAACATAGGCATAGGCAAAGACTTGCTGACAGAACTCCCATGGTACCAAGAACTAACAAATGGGATCGTATCAAATTAAGAAGCTTCTACACAGAAAAATAGCCGAGTAGAGAGACGAACTACAAAGTGGAAAGATTTTGTCAGCTATTCCTTCATCAGAGAACTAATACTGAGAATTTATAAAGAACTCAAAAAAATTAGGCTGCCCCCCAAAATAAAAAACCCAATCCAAAAAAATGGCAACTGAAATGGACATTTCTCAAAAGGAGAAACACAAATGGCCAGTAAATATACGAAAACATATTCCACCTCTCTAGTTCAGAAATGCACACTGAAGCAGCACTGAGATCCCCTCTTACTCCAGAAAGAATGGCTATCATCAAAAAATCAGATAACAAGAAATACTGGTTAGGCTGTGTGTGAGGGGGGCAAGGAACCCTTCGATGTAGGTGGAATGTAAACTGGTACAGCCAATGTGGAAATCATTATGGAAATTCCTAAAAAAACTAAAACAAGAAATCCTATTGAACCCAGCCATTCTCCTTGTAGGTTCAAGTCTTCATATTACACTGATATGTGAATATCCATATTTATAGTAACACAGCTTATAATAGCTAAATCTTGAAAATAGCCTATATGTCCATTAACAGAAGACTGAAGAAAGTGTATTTATATACTATAGAGTACTATGCTGCCAAAAAGGATAAACTTGAATCATTTGTAGGAAAATGAATGAGGCCACAATGTTAAGTGAAATAAATGAGACACACAAGCTTAAATATCAATGGTTTCTCTTACACGAGAAACCCAAAATATAAATAAAGAACAGAATAAAAGATAATAAAAAAAGAGATGGAGAGAGGCTAGTGAAAAAAATGCAGCTGGGAGGAAAGGTAGGGGAAAGGGAAATAAAAAAAATTAAGATACCTTATGTACAAGTACCAACTCCCCACGCTGAATGTGATCTTTAGGTACTACAAATATGTACTAATAAAAAAAGAATTACGGGATATGTGAAAAGTGAGGGGAAACTTTCGAGGGGGATTTTGGCAATGTGTCTTTTACTGTAATCATTTGTAAAATGTAAAGATTAACTCTATATTGTGACTACCCCTTGCTGTCTCGCATATGTCCCTTATATCTCTTGTATATCTTCATGGTGCCAAACTGAAAATGGAGGCCTTAACTTAAAGCAGTGATTCTTGATGACTGTGCGTTAGACTCACCTGCACACTTTAGCAAAGCTCTGAGACAGACGAGCGGGGTGGGGCGAGCGTCACTCAGGGTCTGTCACTCACTAAAAGTACCGTTTGTTCTGTACTTCCTCGCCCTCCCCATTTTACCAGCCCAGAACAGCCAGCTGCATGTTTACAGCCAGGATGCCCCCAACATAGCATCTCCAAGAATAAACTAGAGCAGAAAATAAAACTGTTGGTGATCACCAAAGTAGAAGAGAGGACAAACTAACCTGTTACTCATTAACAGCATGATTTGTATTTGCTTTTGAGGCAGTCAGGGATTTAAATCTGTCCTTTGCAAAGAAACAGTGACTCTTCACAGATGCCCAGTGGGTAACTAAGAATGGGACAAAGCTTGGCATCTCTGCCTTCATTCTGCTTCTGTCTCTTCCACCACCATAAAACTAGGGCTTACATCCCTGCTCGGCTCAGCAGGTAGGTGTGTCAGTCACTTATGGAACGCCTATCTAAAACCTGGGAATGTAAGGGTTACTAGCCCTGACTTTACCTAACTTGCCTTATCCCCCTTCAAACTGTGGACACAAAGATAGATTAGCAGGGACATCCATCTGGCTGTCACCCTTTTGCCCCAGAATCCCTGGAATGGGTACGTAGAAGTCTCCGGCCAGATCCAAAGCCTGCAGTAGCCCAGGACTCAGCAAAGGCTCTGTAAACTGTGGCTGCTTCCCTGCCCCCAAGCAAAAGCAACTGTCTCTTGGAAACAGAATTGACCCTCCTGCTGCAGGGAACCTCCAGAGCTCCAAAACCAGATCTGATATGATGATCCAGCAGCTCTCAGCTCTCCTCAGCCACCTGGAACATCTTGTGCCTTCTTCCTTTAGAGCTGGGCCCCTTTCAGTTCCCAAACTGCTGTCCCTTCCATATTTTCTCTTACTTTCCAATGAAAACTTTTGCCTCTAAATGCCTGCTGTTGCTTTGGCTTTAATTTCCATTACTACTGAATCAAGGGCCCACACTCTCTGGACCCACACAGCCCGATTCCCACACTAGCCTGAGGCTCTGAGTTAGTTGGCCTGGGTTGAGCACTAAACTGGAAGAGGTGACGGCTGCTGATGCATCCTGGGCTTCCACCTCATTTAGCCACGCGAAGCCATGACTATCAAATGCTTCCCTGCAAAGGTGCTAAGTCAAACGGTAGCCCTGGTGGAAACGATGGCCTCAAAATGACAAAGAGAGAGACTAAAATGACTCTTTTAAAAGGCAGGGCTATCATTTCTTATAATTGTATGTAAATCTTCATTACCCTTAGCATTTTTTTTTAAGGGAAGCCAAATTATCTTGAGCAAAGCCCCAGAGAGTCCCCCTCCCACCTGGTGTCCTCCCCAGCTCCAGGCTCAGCACCTGGCCTCCAACCCAGTCCCTGAGCTTGGCCAGCTCAGACCCCTCCTTCTTGCTCCAGTTGCGGACTGAGCATTGCCTCCTGACTCAGTTTACCTGCCACTCCAGAGTTTCCACGTCCAAGCAGTAGTTTTTCGCTCTCTGCCTTTGACCCTCTTGCCAGTGTGCAGGTGTTGACCACAGCTTTGTTCCGGACTTTTTTAGCCCTTTCACATGCAAGGACAAACAGCAAAGGCAAAACACCCACTCAGGTCGCTTGGTGGCTGGAGCCGAACCACCAGACCTTGTGCAGCAACAAGTTTGCTCAGAGGCCATCAGAGTGGGAGCCTGTCCCCACTTGGCCACCAGACATGCCACCCTGCTGGTTCCAGATCCACTAAACCCCTAAGACCACAAGAGACTTCGGTAACTGGCATGGATCAAACAAACCTGTGTGGCTCTCAGCTGGAGTGTGTTGGGGCCTGAGCACACTTTGTTACTAGAGAATCTGTGCAATCACCTGTGCTGCTGGTGGAATAACTGAAACCCGAGAGCCCTGAGCCCTGGTTCTGCTGTGTGCCTCAGGCCAGGAGGGACTTGGAAGTCTTTGGGTTCATTCCCATCCAGTGTCACCAGAGGACACACAGAATGCCTCAAATATTGCACAGGGCATACTTTACTAAAACATGGCTGGTTCTTTATTGGAAATTCAAATTAACTGAGCATCTTGTGTGTGTGTGTGTGTGTGTACACATGCAAATACATGCATCTGTGTGCTGGGGATCAAACCCATGTGCATGCAAAGCACATGCTCTGTCCCTGAACCACAACCCTAGCCAGTGTCTTATATTTTTATTGCATAAGTCTGGCAACCTGGTTCCTTTCATTTCATACAGGGGGGACAGAAACACAGTCCCTGGCAAGGCTGGCCCTGACCCACACAGTCCACAGCAAACCTGTTTCTCTCCTCTGCAGCACTGCCTGACGTGCAAAAACTGCTAGCAACACACGTGCATCTGACAGGCAAGGAGATAATGAGCATTGTAGATAACCGCGAAAGCGGAAATTCAACCTAAAGACCAAAGTTTTCATTGCTGGAAGAAAATCCTGAATGATTGGAACACTGAGGCTGTGCTGCAAGGGGAGAAAGAGTGTCACACACACAGAAGGGACAAACTGAGAAGACAGCGAAGGGACGACTAGAAGGAAAGGCAGTCACTTGGCATAATCATAGCTGTAGTTGCCAAGCATTCCTCATATGCCAGGCAGAACTTTTTCCGGAGTGAACAGCTCAGCCCCCCAGTGTGTGAAGGAGAAGAGGGTTATGGGCTCAGCATCTTTTCAGGGCCACACAGCTGCGGGCCCGGTCTGTCTGGCTCACAAGCCCTTACACCTGACAACTGACACCTGGGGCCCGAAAATAAGCTTCATTTCCCCATGGCTCCAAGGTCCTGGAATGCAGGCCGAGAATGCCCAGCTCCTCTCTGCCTGGATCTCGGAGCTGCAGCAATGGGTCCTTCTCAGTGTCTGTTTGCTGTGGGGAGGAGGAGTGGAGACCTGGTGGGGGCAAGTTTCCACCCAGAGTCACACTCGCCTTTCTTACACTGCGCAGGGGAAGCAGCTGTGGGATGAGCTGCAGGTGCCGGCCTTGAGGAGCAAGCTCAAGGCTCGGGACAGCCGCCCGCCAGAGCCAACCGTGAGCGGGGCGCTTCCCAGGCCAGGCAGATGGAGAGGAACCAGGCAATGACAGATAACCGCCCCCAGGGAAGGGGCACCAGGACCTCCTGGCCTTCTCCAAAGAGTGTAACCCCTGCACGGACCCGGGCACATCTGACACGATCAAAGGAGTCACTGGAAGCTCATCTCTTCATTTATCATTAGCACAAACACTCCCTGCTTGGCTCTAAACTCTCCCTGTGTGGGAGGAATATGTGGACAGCCGTGGTACTTGGCCGGAAACTTCAGGGAGACATATAACGAATCCCATCAGGATTGGCATCCGTGTCTCTCCCACCTGAGCCCACGACTCCTCTCCTATCTAGGACTTGAGGGACAGAATCACTTCTTTTCTTATTTGTTTTATGTCTTTTCATTTCTCTGGTACAAATCTTTCTCCTGGACCCTCACCCCACAACACTGGAAAATGTCTCCTGATTTAGAACACAAAACCACTATGGTAAAGAAATTTTCATAAACGTACCTTTCCGCATATCTTAATGTCGATAAAGTTTCCTCGTAGCAGATGTCAGCTGGACTTATGGCTGCAATCTGTAAAAATATGCCTTGCAGATTTTGTTATTTATATAGGGGTTTGTTACTATCGATGTTATAAAACAGCTAATAGTCATAGAACAGTTTTGCGTCTTACAACTTACAGGATTGTTCAAGCCTACAACTCAGAAAGCTAGGCTTAGAGAAAAATAATACCCCCAAATCGCCCAGATAATAACTGGCAGAACTGGGGTTCAAACCCACCATGCACTCATGCTCATCCCTGTACTGCTGACTGTAAAGCCACACCATTCTCAGTGTTGAGTCCCCAGGGGTTCAAATGATTGTTTGGTGCTGGCACTGGACAGATCAATGAGAACTGCTCATGGGTACTGATTTTGGAGTCATGCTTCTAGAACTTAGAAAACAAACTTTTCAAATCAAAACCTTTTTGACGACTTGGAGCTGGTCCTGGCTCACTAATGGTAACCAGGGGCAACGTCCTAACTGTGCTCGTGGTAGCACATGGCTTATGGAGGCTCGGGTCCTAGAGCATTAAGAGTCTGGCAAAGAAGTCTGTAGCCCCTGCCCCTCACCCTTTTCAATATAGGGATTGAATCCAGGAAGCCTCGAGCTACATCCCCAGCCCTTTTAAATTTTTATCTTGAGACAGAATCTTGCTAAATTGCCTAGGCTGGGCCTCAATTTGTGATCCTTCTGCTCAGCTTCTGGAGGAGCTGTGATTACAGGCATTCACTACCACACCCAGCTACTTTATAGCTTTAAAGTGCTGGGGCTGGAGATTTAGCTCAGTGGGTTCACCGCCTGCCTCAGAAAAGCAAGGACCCCTGAGTTTGATTCCTGGTACCAAAAAAATAAATAAAAATAAAGTGTTCATTTGCATCACCTCGCTTGGCACAGCAGTATTTTCAGGTGGTCATTGTTATTAGGAAATGGGGTTTTAAGATCTGCGCTAAAATTGGGCCTGGCGCTGGGGAGACTCTGGAAATGGGGATTGAAGGTGATCTTGCAGACTCTGTTTCATTTGCTTCCCAAGATGTTCAGCGATCACCTCTCACCTCCTCCCCCTGACATTCTTTGTTAAATCACTGTAATGGGGCCGGGCTGTAGCTCAGTGGAACAGCACATGCTTAGCACACAAGGCCCTTACTTCAATCCCCAGCACTAAAAACCCCAAACCAACAAAGCAACAGTAATTAAAAACACTACTGATTTCAGTCAGTCCTGTCTAGTCTCAGCAGGTGTGGTTTTGCCAATGTGCACACCTAGACGTTGTCCTGCTGGCCTCACAGTCTCAGGTGACTTTGTATGCACCCGCCCAGACCTGTTGGGCTTTAACGCTCAGAGGCCATTACGGGCATTGTGCTGTGGCTGACCCCAGGGCCCCCACGTGTGCGTGCTAGGCGAGTGCCCTACCCCTGAGCTACACCCCAGCCCATATGTGCACAATTTTATTACAGGGTCTCGGGAGGAGGCCCATGGAGGTTCACAGTTAACTGACAACCAAATAACTTTCAAACAAAGTATTTAAAAATAGGCAAGATTAAGAGATAAAGTAAAGGTGTGCTTTACTGTGTGAGGGGGAGCAGAAGCCTTCCAAGTGCCACCAGGGGTGCTTTTCTCTTTTAGAGGACCGTGCATGCGGGAGATAAGAGTTTGCCTGGGTTTGTCCCTCCCTGCAGCTGGTGAGCAGACCGCCCTGATAACTCACCATGGGCCATCCACACGCCACAGCTTTGCTTCAAGGCCAGAGCCAGTGGCTCTCCAGACAGCCCGCCTTCTAAGAACTGGTCTTCTGCCGACTGGGAATACCATGACTTTGCGGGTGTTATGTTTTTTGTTTTTTTTTGGTCCTGGGGATAGGACTCAGGCCCTTGTGCTTGCAAGGCAGGCACTGGAACCACTGAGCTAAATCCTCGGCCCTTTTTTTCTCTTGGCGGGTGTTATGTTCTATGTTGTTAGGGTTTTTTTTTTTCTTGTCGTAAAAGTAATACAAGTTCCAGGGGCTGGGGATTTAGCTCAGTGGAACCGCACCTGCCCCACAAGCACAAAGTCCTGAGTTCACCCCCAGGTACCGCAGGAAAGAACAAAAAAACAAAAAACATGTTCCAGGCTGTGTGTAGCCTAGCACCCACCAGGCCCTGGGTTCCATCCCCAGCAAACAGGAAAGAACAAAAAAAAAAACATGTTCCAGGCTGTGTGTAGCCTAGCACCCACCAGGCCCTGGGTTCCATCCCCAGCACTGTAAAAACAAAAAGTAATATATGATCCTGAAAATTACAGAAGAGACTAAATTTAAAATTAGAGTCAGTAATAGAAAAGCTTTATTTGACCACTGTAGCAGTACAGGCACCAGTCTCGTGTGGTGATGGGTTAGGACACACATATGCAGCTCATAGCAAAGTGCTCTACTATGGGTGCACTGAGAAGAATTTTAACCCTAATACCAATGTCAATAGCCATAATAACTAAATCAGTCTAAAACGTGATAAGAAAGCAATTTTACCAAAGTAGTTCTGCTGTTCCCACCCAGAGCCGACTGGAGCAGTTTGGTCAGGACCGAGTCTCGGTAGGGTATATGCAGGACTCTCTTCCCCAGGGCAGCGTCAGCCAGAGCACTGGATGAAAAGTCAACCAACAGCAGCTTAGAAGAGGGCACCAGGAAGAAACCTGCTCCCTCAGGAACAACCCACAAATCCCACTTGAACCCCCTACAGCTGACACTTCCCTGCAGACATGCCAAAGCAAGATCGGAGAGGGAAGCCAGGACCAAGAGACAAACACACCAAAAGCGAAGGGGCTGTGACTGTAAATCCGTGCAGCACTAGTGGTGTGAAGACAGGACCCAGGAGTGGCAGGAAGTCCTCTCCTTGTCTTTTGTTCCTACTCCCTTAATAGGGGAGGGGATGAGAAGTCCCCACCCTGCTTCATCGAACTACACAGGAGGCAGTGTTTACTCTGGAGAGCTGGCTGCACCTGTAGTCTCAGCTGCTAGGGAGGGCGAGGCAGGAGGATCACTTGAGCCCAGGAGTTTGGGGTTAGCCTGGGCAACACAGCAAGCTAACTCCACCTCAAACGAAACAGCCAAGCAAAACCAAAGAAAAGCCGCTGTTGTCATTGAAGGGAATAAAGAAAAGGGAGAAGGAAATCTCATTTGTAAGTTATAATCACAAGAAGGAAAAAAGAAATCCATAAAATTAAGACAATTTATTGGAAAACAAATTAATCTTTTGGAAAAGAGGAACAAAAATGAAAACACCATGGATAAGATTAATAGTAGATTAGACACTGTGGTAGTTGGAATTAATGAATTAATTCAGAAGAAATTACCCAGGCTGTGATGGGAAAGAAGCAAGAAAGTGTTAGAAACAGGGGAGAGAGTCAGCAGGCCCCAAGAGTCTAATGGAACTTCCAGAAGGGAAAAGAAGAAAATGGGTAGAGGCAATATGTGAGAGACAGTGTGGAGAATTTTCCAGAACTGATGAAAATCACTAATCTTCACAGCTACGACATCCCAGGATGTTCAATGATGAAAAATAGAAATTTACACTCAAATACAACATGGCCAAATCAGAGAACACCAAAAATAAAGGGCTTCAAAGCAGCTGATAAAGAAGATAGGCTACTTTTAAGGGAACAGCAATTAGATATAAACAATGGATGGTATCAATAATGAGCTAAAAGAAAATTCTAAAAGATTTTTAAATATTGATTGATCAGAGGATTGAACCACTGAGCTACATGCCCAGTCAGGTCTGGGTGTATTTCTCAAGCTGGCCTTGAACGTGGGGTCCTCTTGCCTTCGCTTTCTGAGAAGCTAGGATTAGAGGCACGTGCCACCACACCTGGCCTCCATCTAAATTCTATACACAGCAAAAACATCTTTCAAGAAAGAGATGAAGCTTTCTAGAAATGTAGCTCAGTGGTAGAGTGCTTGCCTACTCGCCTAGCGTATGTGAGGCCCTTGGTTCTAACTCCAGCACCGGAAGGAAACAAAGAGAGAGAGAGAGAGAGGAAGGAAGGAAGGAAGGAAGGAAGGAAGGAAGGAAGGGAGGGAGGGAGGAAGGCAGGCAGGCAGGCAGGCAGGCAGGCAGGCAGGCAGAAAGGCAGGCAGGGAGGGTGGGCCACCAGTAGACCATTGCTAAAAGAAACTGTAAAGAATTTAGTTCCACCAGAAGGAAATTAATCCTAGCAGCTCTGGGTACAAGAAAGATTGATTGAAAAAGAAGGGGGAATAAATGTGAATGAATACTGTATAAAAAATACTACTAATGCCTTTTGAGGTTAAAGAAGAGTAAACATGAAGGCTAGAGATCCTTCTATTACGCAGAAGAGGGATGAGGGATGCTTATGAAGGGCCAGTTCGAGGGAGCTGCAGGTAGGATGATACAGGATGCGACCTGGGGGTTGTGTATTCACAAGCTCGTCGCAAGCCATGCACTCCAAGAAGCAAGCCAGTGCTTCTGAAAGTATCACATGTACTCACTGTGTGTCCCTTTAGACCCTGACCTTCCCTCGACCCAGAAACAAAGGCTTCGATTACTCGGGTCAGTGAAACAGTTATTTTTAGGAAGCAGTTTACTCCCATATAAATTGAGCGGATTCCAGGTACCCACTTGGGAAATTCAGTCCAATCCCCCCTACCCTGTAGCGTGACCCGTTGCTTGGCAGCTGTTCCTTGTGTTCATGCGACCGACCTTACAGATAAACTTTTGCCTCCAATGATGTTCACTTCTGACTTCCTCTTTCTTCGCCTAACCTGAGTTTCTCATCTGTGCTGAGGCCTTTGGTATGAGCCAGTCTCGCCTCACCTCTCCATTCTTCATGGGAGTAAAGATGAAGTACCCAGGGGTGCATGAGAGAGAGAGAGAGAGAGAGTGTGTGTGTGTGTGTGTGTCTCCTTGAAGACCCCTGGCCCCTCAAAGACCATCCGCCTACTGCTACAGTTATACAGAGGCTTTGACAAACAAAAGAGATTTTAGAGTCAAGAAACAGAGTTAAGCGCATACTAAATTTTGATATATGACTAAAGTATCCTGAGGACCACTGGGGAAAGGAGGGACTATTCAAATTGGGAAACATTGATGATATGTAAGAAAAAAAATACAAAAATGATACCTACCTCACACCATGCTCAGAAATCAAGTCCAGTTGGATAGGAACTTAGAGGTAATATAGGTAGACTTTTTAAATTGTTAACTCTCTTAAACAAAATATTAAAAATGTACAGCATAGACTATAGCCATAAATTCTGCTCATCAGTACACATCTTATCAAAATTAAAAAAACCATCACTGGGAGAAGATATTTACAATGCATATGCCTAAGCAAAGAGTAATAAAACATAAACATTTAATTTAAAACATCCAAATTATCTAAAAACTAAAAAAACAAATGTTCATAGCAGCTTTATCCTAATAGCTCAAACCTGGAAACCAACTACGTGTCCATCAGTAGAAAAATGGATTCATCTTGAGACCATAATGCTAAGTGAAATAAACCACATTCAAAAGCTTAAATACCACATGGTTTCTCTTATATGAGAAACTCAGGATAGAAATAAAAACCAAGACAAAAGATAGATGATAGGGCATAGGGAGACAGATCCTTTGCACATGGGAAAGGGACCAGGCGATGGAGGGGGACAGTGAGGAAGGCACGGAGAGGGGGCTGAAAAGGGATTGAGTTGTGTCACACGGAATGTAAAAACTGCACCACAGACAGTACTGATAAAAAATAAAAAATTTTAAAACCTGAAACTATAAAAAACTAAAAAAAAAAAAATTGCTCATAGCAGCTTTTATCCGAATAGCTCCAACCTGGAAACCAACTGCACGTCCATCAATAGAGCAAAGACACACTGTGACACATTCACACGATGGAGACAGAATGGCAATGAAAAAGTGGGTATCGCTGTGTGCAGAGACTGAACCACCTCACGGATACAATGTCTGGTGAAAGAAGCCAGGCACATACGCCAGGGACCTCAAATAAATGATCTCGGCAAGCAAGAGGATTAGCCAAAACTAGTGCGATGGCCAAGGTCGATTTCTTTTGGCAGGACTACCAACTGGAGGGGGTATGAGGGAAATTTGGATTTTGGAAATGTTTTATGTTTTGATTTGGGTGACAGGAGCAAAGAGATAGAGGTAGAGATGATACAGATAGTGATGAAAGAATAGATATATTTATATATATTCATAGAAATGAATTTTTAAAATTTGTATTATTTTCTGAAACTTATACCCTAATAAGTTTTTTTAAAAAGCCTAAGTGCAAAAAGATAATATAGTAGCTTACCTTTTTTATAAAGCTAAAAAATGAGAATCTTGTGCTGAGGCTATGGCTCAGTGGTAGAGAATTTTGCAGGAGGGGTCCACCTCCAGCATCACACCCAAGAAATTTTTTTTTATTGTTGTTGTTTTTGTTTTTTTTGGTACCAGGGATCGAACTCAGGTCCTTGCACTTGCAAAGCAGGCACCGGAACCATTGAGCTAAATCCCCAGCCCAAAAAAACTTTTTTTAAAAAGGAGTACCACTAAGCAGTAATAGTCATAATTAATAAAACAAGAAAGGAGGAAGGACAAGGGAAGGGAACTTAAAATTCAGGGTGGTAGATACCTCCAAGGGTACGGTAGGAGAAGAAACTTGCACCAGATAGGTCTGGAGTTGGGAGATGATTTTCTTGGCGTCATTTTGTTGAATATTAGTTTAAAATAAAATATATAGAGGGCCAGGCATGAACTGATGATGACAGCAAACAATGAACCAAGGGTTATAATTACAGTAACGTTAAATTTTCCTTATTTTAAGAACCTAGGGCTTATCACATGGTAAGCACATGGTCTACAACTGAGCCACACCCCTTTTGTTTTTGTGAGGTCTGTTTTGTTTCACTCTTTTTTGCAATGCTGAAGATCAAACCCAGCGGTGCTCAATCACTGAGTGACATTCCTATGTTTTATATCTAGATGTTCCGCTAAAGCCTCATGTGCTCATAGGTCGGGCTTTTAAATGGTGTTTAACTCATGGGGTGCTGTAGCTAAATGTGGTGTTAGAAAATGGAGCCTTGCTGGAAGAGGTGGGTTACTGGGGCTGTGGCCCGGTAGGTTGTATCTTCCTCTTCATTTTCCCTCCACTCTCTGCTTTCTGATCACCATGCTGTGAGCAGCTTTCCTCTGCCCCGGTCCCCCCACCATGCAAGAAATGACACTTCTAAAACATGAGCCAGAATAAACCTCTCCTCCTTTAAGCTGTGGTATCAGATATTGCGTCCCAGTGATGAAAGCGACCAGGACAGAGTCTGGTATCAGATGAGTGGGATCATTGCTATGACTATCTGACCATGTGATTTAGAAGCCTTTGGAACTCGTGTATGGGAGGCAGTGGAAAGCTTTGGAGCTGCTGGCTGGAAAAGCAGCCCTAGAATGCTGTAAACTGGGCTTGATGGGAGATTGTAATCAGAGCTCAGATGTCCAGAATGCTGATAAAAATGCAGAGAGTAAAGATCAGGCTCGTGAGGTTTCAGCTGGGAGCAAGCACTCCATTGGCAATCGGACTCCAAATCATTTATTATGCTCTGGCTGAAAATTTGACTTCACTATGTCATATCCTGAGACTGTGAGTGACTGAGATTAAAAGCAGCAGAGTCTGGCAGAGGAAATTTCAAGGCAGTACAATGTGAGGATATTGTACAACTATTGCTGGCCAGGAATGTAGAACATCTGAGGAGCCCATAGGCAGTGAGTGAAACCACCTCAAGACAGAAGCCACGAGAGCTGTAACTAACAATGTTGCAGGAGCAGGGCCACCCAAGCCATTTTTGGGTTCACATCGTTTCCCCCTGGTGCTGGACATGGAATTATAGGATTTAATGTTTGCCTTGCTGGGTTTCGGTCTTGCTTTGGTCCCATTCCTTTCCATCCCCCATTCCTCCCTCTTTGAATAAGAATGTTTATCTTGTGCTCTTGCATGTTGGAAGTGTTCGACTTTCTTTTTGATTTTTATAGGGGCTCACAGAGAAGAGTTTGCCTTGAGTCTCAGAGAAGATGTTGGACTTGGACTTTTCAACAATGCTGGAACAGTTAAAACTTTGACACTTAGAGATGGACTAAACGCATTTTGCATAGAGATGTGCTGGACTCTTTTGGGAGCCAGGGATGACATACTGCGGTTTGGATCTGCAATGACCATCTAAAGCCTCATGCACTCAGAGGTGGGGCTTGTGGAAGGTGAACAGATTATGAAGACCCTATAGCTGACCAGGATTAGGAATCTGGAGGCGGGACTGGTCAGAAGACGCCAGTGACTGGGGCATGGCATGGAAAGGTATATCTCCTTCCCCAGCTCCTCCCTTCTTTTTCTTTCTTTCCTTTGTTGGGGGCGGTGGTATCAGGATCGAACTCAGAACCTTGTTCTTGCAAGGCAGATGGTGGAACCACTGAGCCACATCCTCGCCCCGCCGCCCTTCTTTTTCAGCTTCCTGGTCACCACCATGTTAGCAGCTCTCCTCTGCCCAGGCCCTCCCATCATGCCGCTTCTTTTTAAGCCTGTGAAATCTGGACTGAAACATGAGCCAAAATAAACCTCTCCTCCTTTAAGTTGGGAGGGTCAGTGTCTTGTCCCAACAACATAAAAGTGATTAACACAATCCCTGTTGTTTTGAGCAGGGTCTTGCTCGGTTGCCCAAGCTGGCCTTGAACTTGGTATCTTCCTGCCTCGGTCTTCTGAGCTGGGATTACAGTTGGGCACCACTATGCCCAACCAAGAAATAATTAATGCCTGCCCGCTGATTACATACCTGATAACGTTTCCTAAATTGGTTAAACTCAAGTTGACCCGTGATCCTTCCTTCAGTCTGTCTCCTTCAGATCCTGAAGATTTCTGTCTTTCACTTCCTGCTAAATCCACCAAATTGATGCTGGATTGTTTGGTAAAGGCTCTGTCTAGAAAAACCTGTAGAAATATGCCCAGACAGATGGTCTTAGAGTGCTGCATGCATGCTGTATGGGAAGTCAACCTAGTCCACATACTTAGTTCTTCTAACTGCAGTTTAGACGCAAAAAGAAAAAAAGTTTCCCATATAAAATCATCTTTACAATGACATTTTACAGTACTGCAGTACCAGGCCCAACAGCCTTGCTTGCCTCTTCCCGTGTCTGAGAAGCTCTTTTGCAAGCAGTATTGGATACACTGATAAATTTAGTGTGTGTGTGTGTGTGTGTGTGTGTGTGTGTGTGTGTGTGCGTATAATCAATAAACTTTAAAAATATAAACCACTGTGTGAAATCTGCAAAATAAGTAATCGTTCAGGGTTGCATAGTCCTGTAGTAAAATGAACATAAATTTTAGAATTCAACAGGTTCTCTTGCAGGCTACTTGAACTTTCCTGTGCGTCACCTTTCAGCTGTAGAATGGTACCAGTACCATGTCACTGAGATGTTTGGGGCAGGGTTCAAGATAATAGGTGCAGTGGATCCAACGGGCTTGGCACGTAGTATGAGGTGTTATGCTGACCCCACTAAAGAGTATGGCAGGTGCTAAATTTCTTTCCTTGCCCATAAATAAGAAATTAAAAGCAGCATAGCAAATCACATATACAGGCTTTTTTTTTCTATTAGTTTTTTGGTATGAGGGTTGATCCCAGGGCTTTGAACATGGTAGACATGTGCTCTAGAACTGAACTACATCTCTGGCTCTTTAAAAAATAATTTTAAGGACGGTCTTACTTATTTGCCTAGGTGGCCTCAAACTTGCCATCCTCCTGCCTTGACCTCCTGAGTAGCTGGGGTTGTAGGACTATGCTAAGAAGCCCTGTCCCTCATATATAGTTTCCACATATATAAGTTTGTGCGTTTTAGTAACATTGTAAAGACAAAGGAGTAGCCCTTAAAAATTTACAAAGTTCTTTAGAATGCAGTATCTCAATCAAACCTCCCAACTTTCCTAGGGGGAGAACTATCCATCCCATTTTACAGGATAGGAAACTGAAGTCAGAGAGATCAAGTTATTTCTCAAAAATCCTAGAATTGGTAAATGAAAGAGTCAGACACAGTCCAGTGTTTGTCCATTACTCTTGGTGAGGGCAAGACAATTTTCATCGTTACTATTTTTTTTATTGTTGGTACTATGACTTGGAGGACAGAGGTGGTATAATCATCGCTAACTATAACATTCACCCAAAATATGTGAATGATCATTTCTAGATCAAACAGGATATTGTATAGATCACTCCTGATACTCACCAAAGAATATGGAAGAGAAAAGTTCTCTCTAGTTTATCAAAGACTTTACTTAGTGGAGTGTGATGTGGATTATTTAGTTCCAAAGAATTAACTTGGTACCAGAAGTCAAAAAGGTACTTCAGTGTCTTGAGGGGCCCAGGGCTCATGGATCTGAAAGCTTGGCCTTATACTGGTGATGCATGGACTCATTCCTAACAAAATTCTCCAAGATAAACCAGGGAGTCACTCTAAAATCTTCAGTCTACTCCTGGGTCAATGTGGGATAGAAATTCTTTTCCTCAGAGCATGCCATTTGCTTGAGGGAAAACAGCCGGCTATGGGTACTTTTGGGGTCTAGCAGTTGCGTGACCACCCCACTTATCAGTAATGGGCTAACTTGGGCCAGGACAGGGCAGAAATGTTGAGGAGGGGCAGGAAAAAAGCAAGTACCTCACTTTTTCTTGTTTCTGACCTCACAGTGTAGAAGTGGCCACCTTAGTCCAGGGTCAGATCTAGAAGGATTCCCTAACATCCACCATATTGTGCCACTGGGAACCCTGGCAGAGGTTGGTCCTGCAAGGATGCAGGACTGGGGAATGCACTGGACTCACCTGCTTGAACTGAATGGTGGTTACCATGTGGGACCGGCTGCTGCTGGCATTCATGTTGGTTGAAGCTGTGGTCCTGATTCTTGTTCCTTGTTCCATCAGCTTTTCAATTTGAGCATAGTTCTTGCAAGGCACAGACTTCAGACCTTCCACATAAAAGCCCAGGTGGTGATCTTCCCTGAGTTTTAGTCCCCCAGGCTTTTTGGTGCTGGAGAGCAAGTCTCTTATCTGTAGAAAAGAAGAAACAATGTAAATTTCAAGAAAATTTTGCTGCTCTATCCCTGCCTACCATAGAGTAAGTGTTCAACTAGATATCCAGTGGATGAATAACTAAATATTAAACTGCTGTAGATACCAGACAACCTCATAAATGAACTAAGTAAGAAACAGGGATGTAGGTAAACAAGAAAATAGGGAAAATCAGTTTTAACTAGCAAACCAGAGGCCTAATTTTAAAAAGTATTTTTAAAACATTTTAGAGATGTGTTTTATTCCCCACCGCCCAGTACTGGGGATCAAACTGAGGATCTTGCGCTTGCAAGGCGGTCACAATGCCCCTGAACTAAATCCCCAGCCCATGCTTTATTATTTTTAAAGTAACTCAACAAAACTTCCAAAAAACAAAAAAACCCAAAACTTTGAGGGTCATCTGTGTCCACACTCACCCTAACACGCAGTCACTGCATGGGGAGTGCTGGCCAGGAGCACGCTGGAGGGCTGGCTGACCATTATCAGTGCTGGACACAGGGGACAAGACACCCAGTGTCAACAGCTGTCTGAATTTAAAAGATGCTTTTAGAAATTCTGTGCTTGGAAAGGGAGGAGATGGCAGAACGGAAGTACCATGTGTGAGTCAGCAATGGAGAAGGAGGAGGAGAAAGTATTTCACTGTGCAGCGACGGTGAGGAAGTGTCCTGGGAGCTGACAGACATGCAGAAGGGAACGTGACACAGCGGTCTCCAGGCAGCAAGTGTCTGAGTCAAGTGACCCAGGGGAAGCTACGGTCCACACAAGTCCTGCCCCAGCCTGGGAGAGGTCAACACACCGCTGTTATCTCAGCTTGTCCAGTGAGAAGCAGAAAATGGCCACAGTCCGATAACTGCCCTACGCAGCACTCGGGGAGGTTGAGGCAGGAAGGCCACAAGTTCCAGCCCAGCCTGGTCGACACAGTGGGTTAGTGAGACCCTGTCACAAAATAAGACATTAAAAAACTCAAAAGGCTAGTGATGTAGCTCCATATTAGAGCACTTGCCCAGCATGTACTAGGCCTTGGGTTCTACTTCCAGCGCTGCCAACAAGGAAGGAAGGAATGAAAGGAGGAGAGGAGGGAGGAAAGCCATACCTGCCACTTACGATAAGCTGGAGCGGCAGGAATGGCGGGGGGGTCAACTCCAGGATGAAGGGCCTGTCTGAAGGGTAGGGATTGGGAGTCCCGAGGGTAATCAGGATGCAGAAAGTCACTTAGGCTTGTGAGAAAACATAATCTCTAATGCTGGGAGTGTACCTGGTGGTAGTGCATGCTTAGCAGGTACAAGGCCCCAGAGTTGATCCCCAGTGCTACCCTCCACCCCTGGAAATAAAAAAGAGAAAAGAAAACATAATCTCCATTACCTGTTCGTTGTAAATTTCCAGCATACTGAATGTAACCTGTGTAGAGAATAATACAAGTAAATAGTCTCTTACAAGGGTCATCTCTGAGCAGGCGTGATGGTGCACGCCTGTAATCTCAGCGCTCAAGAGGCCGAGGCAGGAGGATCGCTGTGAGTTCGAGACCAGCCTGGACTACATAGTGAGTTTCAGGGCAGTCTCAACTACATAGTGAGACCCTGTCCCAAAAAACCAAAGAAAGAAAAAAAAAGGTCATCTTCGGTGGGGAAAATGTGATATGGAAACAACAGAAATGTCCAACAAACAGAAAAGCTACTATCAATACAGGAAGCCCTATTCCAACACGCCATGGGTTCTCAAGTAATTTTTATGTCATTAGATAAGTTATTGATACACGTTTTAAACAGACACAGAACAGTATGCATGTGTGCTTTCGTCTCAATCTGTCACCCTCGGTCTGACCAGATGTGGAGGTAAAGATTGATTTTTACCCTCTCGTGGTTCTTGACTATTGCTAGAAACTCTTGAGCAGGACTGGGAAAATCTGGGTGGTTTTAGTTCAGAGAAAAAGCCTGAAATCTGCTACCCCGCACCCCTGGAAAGGCCAGCCTGTCTGCTGAGTTTGCCAATCAACTCTCATTGCCTTGGAGCTTCCACAAACAGCTTCAGAGCGCTTCTGTCAAACTGGCCCAATGGCCAAAGGTTAACAGACAGGAAAGTCCCTAATATGATGACAGTGATCAAAGCAAACATATTGACTTGGGAGGCTGAGGCAGGAGGATCGCTGTGAGTTTGAGACCACCCTGGGCTATACAAGCAAATTTCAGGTCAGTCTCAACTACATAGTGAGACCCTGTCTCAAAAAACAAACAAAACAAAACAAAGCAAATACATTGAAAAGAGGAACTCAAAGAACACAGGCAATGTGTAGACAACATTTTAAAAAGTACTATAATTAATAGCTTCAAAGAGAAGCCATTTTGTGGATATAATCCACAAAGAGTATGCTATTTTTATGCTAATTTTTAAAAGACAGAATAAGCAGGAGTGCTTTTATTTATTTATTTCTGGTACCAGGGATCAATCTTGGGTCCTTGCGCTTGCGAGGCAGGCAACGGAACCGCTGAGCTCAATCCTTGGCCCAAGCAGGAGTGTTTTTAAATTAAATTTATGAATGATATAGCCCAAGATAAAAAATGTAGAGGAATATAGTTGAGGGGATCTTTTAGAAGGCAGAACAAAAAGACCAAGAAGTGGAAATTAGACACTAGAAGGTAATAAAATTATAGGACATGAGGTTCACAGTCCAATTAGCAAGTCCAGAAATGGGAAACAGAAGAAATACAGGGGAGAAAAAAGCTATGATAAATAATACTAGAAACGATTTCTAGAATCGAAGGACAGAAATCTCCACATTGTAAAGATGCCCTGAGCATCCAGAACGCTGAATGAGAAAAGACACATGAAGACATCAAGCAAAAAAAAAAAAAAAGAGAGAGAGAAGATCCTCAAAACTGCTGAAGAGAGACTGAGCACAGAAAGGTTCACACAAGGAAAGTGAAACTCAGACTGGCAACAGACTTCTCTGCAGTAATATTGGAAATTAAAAGATAATGGAAAGATGTTCAATATTTTAAGAGCTACAACTCTATTCTGAGTACACTGCAAGTGTGGAGGTAAGAAAAGATAATATCTGCTGTGTGGAGGATAAAAACTGCTGAAGAGAGACTGAGCACAGAAAGGTTCACACAAGGAAAGTGAAACTCAGACTGGCAACAGACTTCTCTGCAGTAATATTGGAAATTAAAAGATAATGGAAAGATGTTCAATATTAAAAGAGCTACAACTCTATTCTGAGTACACTGCAAGTGTGGAGGTAAGAAAAGATAATATCTGCTGTGTGGAGGATACAAACAAATGTATGTCGGATGTACCTTTTCTGAGGAAGTTGCGGCAAAAAGAGAGAATAAGCCAAAAAGGAATACATTGCTAAGAGTCAGAAGCCAACAGAGAACAGTGTTGAAGTAAAATTCCAGATTGGCATTAGCAACAAGCCTGGAGAAACACTGCTTGAAACCGTAAAGAATAGAACACTCCTTCTCAAGAAAAATGGGTAGAACCAAGGAAAATAAGAAAATTAATGTGATCGAGGATATAGAAAATATTACTAAATATACTTAACAGGGATTTAGAGCATTTAGGAAATGGGTTTACAGAAAACTAGATATGACTAGATAAGTCAAAGGCAACTAAAAACTACAAGAGAAACAAAAAATAGAAAAGATGTATGCATTACTTGGTTCACCAGTAAACAATGTTTGCACAAATAGTAATCACTATAGATTTAAAATGTTAATAAAAAAAGTTAAGAGTCCCTGATTTAAGAACGAGTTCCATTCTGGGAGAATGTTTGTAACTCAGATTTGTTCATAAGTCCAACAAAGTGACTTCTCTGGCACAGCAGATTTCATGTCCCATGATCTTGTCCTTGTTCTTTAGGATTGTGCCAAGCTGGGCGTGGTGGCAAACGCCTGTAATCCCAGCACTCAGGAGGCTGAGGTTGAGGCAGGAGGATTTCTGTGAGTCCGAGACCAGCCTGGGCTACATAGTGAGTTCCAGGTCAGTCTCAACTACATAGTGAGACCTTGTCTCAAAAACAAAACAAAACAAAAAACCCCCAAAACAAGAAACACCCCAAAAAAGAATTGTGCCAGTGGTTGAATGGTTCATGTTCTAAGAACAAGCAATGTGAGCCATCTTTTTGCCTTGTTCTTATCTGTCAATTATTTTCACTTTTTTTCCACATGGTTATCACTTTGCACTTCCTAGCAGTGCCTTCCACATCACCACTGCTTTCCGTCTTGCTTCTGAGTTCGAGGCCAGCTGGGCTGCATAAAGAGACTCTGTCTCAAAAGCCATGCAAACAAAAAGAAAAATACGATGAAAAATGAGAAAGCAATGTTGAATCTTCCTAACACCAATTTAGTTTCTTTTGCCATTTTGAGATTATGCTTACAGGTATTTGTTGTCATTTTGCGATCATATTTTCAGGTTGATCATGTTAATGGTTACACTATCTTGAAAATACTACAAACCATCTTTCTGAATCTAAAAGTGAATCTTGAATCTTCTGTGCCAAAGCAAAAAAAATTACACTAGGACAAATAAGTAACAAACTAATACTGGGAGAGCTCTGGTGTAGCTCAGTGGCAGAGCATTGGCTTGGGTTTGATCCCCAGCACTAAAAAAAAAGAAAAGAAAAAAGAATGTCCTTGGGTTTGCCTCTGAAGAAAATGACAGTCAACATCTTTGCCTAGAATATGATTCTGTAAACATATAAACGTTTTGGTATGGAAAGAGGGGCGCAGGTCAGGGGCAGAGCGTGTGCTTAGCAGGCCTTAGGTCTTAGGTTCAATCCCCAGTACAGGAAAAAACAAAACCCAAGCCCCAACATGACGACAAAACCCGAAATAAAAGTGTCGACAACTTGCACCTGGGGGAGGGGTTCAAAATGAAACGAGTCATTCTTCGAAGACGAGATGTTAGAACAATGCCTACCTGGTATTCTTGATTTCTCTCCTGCTTCTCAATCGTTCGAAAGAGCTCTTCACACACACTTGGAAGAATGCCCTTGTCTGCACCGAAGCCAATCATGGAGTAGCTCTTTCCGGAGCCCGTCTGCCCGTAGGCCAGAAGGGTAGCATTGTAGCCCTGCCAAGCGCTGTCCAGAATCCCCCTTCCGATGTCACGGAAAACGTCTCTCTGAGGGAAGGTGACAGGGGTGGTGCCAGCAAAGCCAGCGGCGCCTATCTGCGCGCTCCCCTCCTCTCACAGTACTCGTGAAGTCTAAAACAGGCAGGTTAAATAAACTGCACCTTAATTAGTATCATATGACCTGCTCGGAGCACAGCTGTGACGCTCTCTTAGCTCCAACAGGTGAAACCGGAAGCCAAAAAGGGATCTGTCAATTGGAAAGGCCCTGCTCGCTCACCTTCCAGGCCCCTCAGGTGCCTCTTGAGCTGCCAGTATCCATCAGTGATGAATTTGTTTATTTGTAGCCTTAACAAAACGTGGCTCGGGGGCCGGGGATTTAGCTCAGCGGTTTGGTGGCCTGCCTTGCTAAGCGCAAGGACCCGCGTTTAACTCCCAGTACCAAAACAAGCAAACAAAAAAACATGGCTCGGTCTTTAAAATTAAGCAACTAGACAAAAAAAAATTTCAAGGCACTGAGATCTGTCAAAGCATTTTGTTTTTGGTACTGGAAATCGAACTCAGGCTTATCAGGCAGGCAGTGGCACCACCAAGCTAAATCCCCGGCCCTACAGTACACTCTAAAATAACGACAAAAGGCCGGGGAGAGTTTCTCCGGCCTGCCTTGCAAGTACAAAGGCCTGAGTTCAGTCCCTGGTACTACACACACACACACACACACACAAAATCGCCTGCCTTGCAAGGTCCCAAGTTCGAAGCCTGGTACCACAAAAATAAATAAATAAAATAAAATAAAATAATGACAAGAAAGCCAGGCATGGTGGCACCTGCCTGTAATCCAGAACTCGGGAGGCTGAGCCAGAAGGATTGCCATGAGTTTGAGGCCAACCTGAACTACATAATGAGACCCTGTCTCAAAAAAACAAACAGGGCTAGGGATTTAGCTTAGTGGTGCTGTGCCTGTCTTGTCATCCCAAGGTCCTGATTTTGATCCCTGGTACCAGAAAATAAAAACAAAACAAAACAAATTGACAAAGTATAATATATCACACGTGTACAGCAATAACATAGTCATTTATTGTAACTTATCAAGGGTTATATATTGTACATAATTCTATCACTATACTTGTATATAACTAGCAGCACAGATTTTTCTTTTACACCAGCATCATCACAAAGACAGGAGTAATGCATTGTCAGTGACATCAGGACAGCTAGGACCTCACCAAACAGTGGGGACTTTTTAGCTCCATTATAACCTTTTTTTTTTTTTAGTACTGGGAATTGAACTCAGGACCTTGAGTTTATGAGGCAGGCACAGTGCCACTGAGCTAAATCCCTGGCCCTCTTCATTTCTAATCTTCATATTTTATATCCTTTTTTCTTAGATAGGTCTTACTAGGTGTTTATCAATTTTATTTATCATTTCTGAGAAATAGATTTTGGTTTCATTGATTTTTCTCACTGTTTTACACTTCATATTGAATTATTATGGCTATTTACTTTTTTCTGCTATTACTTTTTTCCATTTTCTGCTTCACTTGTTTAATTTCTTCTTTTTCCCCCAAACTTTTAGGTAGAGGCTTACACTGATTAGAGATTATTCTCTAATATAAGCTTTAGTGCTCTGCAGAGCCTCCTCTAAGCCCTGTTTTAGTTATGTCCCCCAGATTCTGATAGGTGTTTTGATTTTTATTCAGCTCAGAATATTTTGTGATTTCTGTCTGAGTCCGCCTGGTGATGCTGTAACAGACCCCGTAGACTGGGAACTTTACAGTGGACGGGAATGGGCGGCCTCGCACTTCTCCGGGGCGCAGGGAGAAGCCTTCTCCGTTAGTCCTCTCGTGGCGAGGGGAGACCGGCGCCAGTCTCACCTGCTGACCGACCGCGAACCCAGGCCCCGACAATCGCACTGATGCCCTGAGGTGGCCCACGCAGCCCAAGGCCCCACTCAGCACCACTGCCCCGGAGCTCGGAGGGACACAATCAAACCTCGGAGATTTCCCTTGCAATGCTTAAAGATGCCACCCAGGGATTATTTAGAACCTGACACTTTCCAAATATCTTTCTCTTATTTCCTTCTGGTTTACGATGTGGTCAGAGAATGACATGATTCAGTCACTTTATGTTTATTCAGACTAGTTTTATGATCCGGAATACGGTCCATTAGGATGAAGGTAAATATATCTATTTGCACTTAATGGGATGTTCAACGTTGTGGTCAAGTGTTCTAAAAATGTAATTACCAAGTAGCTTAACACTGTTTTCTCAGTCTTCTAATAAAACTACTGATTTTTACATTAGTTACTGAGATAGAAGTGTTGAAGTCACAAAACACTATCACAGACTTGTCCGAACTTCTTCCTTTTATCGATTTTGGCCGTGCACTTTGAATTTCAGTTACTAGGTGCACGGCCATACATTGTGGTTGTGTCTTCTTAAAGAGACGATGCTTTATTATTATGAAAATATCTCTTGTCCTAACCTCTTGTGTACTCAGTGCACCCTATTTAGTTTTCTTTTTCTTAGTATTTTCATGAGATCTATTTCTTTCTTTATATTTAAATCAGATTTCATATAGACAGTTATGGTTGGGTCCTGCCTTTTAAATCTTATGACAATACCTACCACTTAAGTGGCACATTTGACTGTTTAATATTTGACATAGTTATCATTAAACCTCACTTATGATTTGTATCCTACTTATCTCCTCTTCTCTTGCTTTTCCAGCTGTGTTGGATTGAGAGCGTTTTATAATTTTATTTCCCCACGCACGACTCATTAGTTAGTCATCCCTCTACTTTATTTTTTCCTGATTGCTGTAAGGCTTTGTGAACTGGGACATCTGTAATCATATCGATATTTGCGTTTTCCACTCTCACTCGTGACTGGAGGGAGTGCACCGCGGAGCTCGCCAGAGGCTATGTGACACATGGTGTGATAAAATAGTCCACGAGGCCGAGAAGTCAGCACCACAGAGATTTGGGGAAAAGTGTGAAAAGGTGTTACTCCTTTCAGGATGGGTGTGGATTTTTTTTTCACAAAAAATGCTATTTTACGCTATTATGTAAAACATCATTGCTGTTGTGTATGGAATCCTAGGCTGAGTGGACAACTCTGCTTCTCTTCTGGCTTGGATACTTCTGATGGTGTATCTGCTGTCACTTGTGCTGCTCCTCTGTCTTTTTTCCTTTGTTGTTTTAAAGATTTTCTCATAATCATTGGATTACATTGGATATAATTAAAATAGGACTCATTATGTTTTCTCCATATTTATTCTGCTTATGTCTCATTAAGTGTCACAGAGCTGTGGGTTTATAGTTTCCATCAAATTTGGAAAAAGTTTAGTCATCATTTCTTCAAGTGTTTTGCTTTTTTGGGGGGAGGTACCAGGTATCGAACTCAGGACCTGGAGCTTGTGAGGCAGGCGGCAGAACCACTGAGCTAAATCCCCAGCCCTTCTTCAAGTAGTTTTGCTTCCCTTCCCTTATTCTTTTTATTTATTTATTTTTTTTTGAGACAGGTTCTCACTATGTAGTTGAGACTGACCCAGAACTCACTATGTAGGCCAGGCTGGTCTCGAACTCACAGTGATCCTCCTGCCTCAGCCTCCCGAGTGCTGGGATTACAGGTGTGAGCCACCACACCCGGCCCTTCCCTTATTCTTCACATGACTTCAGTTATAAAAAGGGCTTGAGGTAGTCTCCAGATTCCCTGAAGTTCTGTTCATTTCCTCTCTCCTAATTATTTCTGTCTGTTCCTCTTAAATAGTCCAAACATCATACCCTTTAACAAACCACCCCAAAATACCCTCTGGCCAGATTGAAAGGATCACTTCTCCACTGTACCCCACTGTGCCTCATGAGTTCTACAGCACATGTCCTTCAACATTTGAATGCACTTACTTGCCTGTCTCTACAAATAATTTGTGAGAAACTTTAAGACACAGCAATTTATAGCACATGATATCTGCTTAATAAAATAGAAGTTCTTAAATGCTGAGTATCTCACAAATTTTTCTTATTTTGCTTGGCTCAGGGAGACAAAACAATTAATTTGGCTGCCTTTCTATTTTCAAAGTATACCCATGCCTTGCCAAGTTAACTAACTTGAATGTTTAAAAATTATTTTTGTAGAAGCTGCATTTTTGGACCTTGTATTCATCTTAGAAAAAGGAATAAATTTAAGCTCAAACTCTCATATGGATTTATTCCATGGAAATACTGAAGTGCTCACAGTGTAACCTACACCAGAAAACAAGCAAATTAAAATGCTAAAAAACTTGCCGTGGAAATTGTTTTAAAAACAATTTACCTGACTTGCAAATTTACTGGTAGGATCAGCAGAAATAAGGACACCATCTTTATCCTTTTGAAATCCATTGTGAGACCAATATGCCAGATCAAAAGTAAATGTCTTCACATGCCCTGGATTCTTGGGGTCTTGTATGGTGGTAGTAGCCCTGGAATCCATGGAAATCACACATTTGCTCCCAGAATTCTTCTCTCTCTGCAGTCAAATTACAAAATCAAGGTCATAGTTTGTCTTTGCTATCCAAGTTAATTGTTTGGTAAGTCTTTATACCTAGTAGGAAGTTAAGCTAGGAATTTTTTTCCTTAAAAGTCTTAGCAGCTTATACGAGAAGTGATGGTTCCTGTAATCCCTCTGAACTTTTGAAGGTCTTGCCTCAAGTCTTTTTAACTTCCTGAGAAGAGCTGGATCTTTAACACACAGCCAGACTAATAGCAACAATTGCAGCAGTGGCCAGGCATGGTGGCGCACACCTGTAATCCCAACACTCAGGAGGCTGAGGCAGGAGGATCACTGTGAGCTCAAGACCAGCCTGGGCTACATAGTAAGTTCCAGGTCAGTCTCAGCTACATAGTGAGACCCTGTCTCAAAAACAAACAAACAAAAATGGGCAACTAAAATAAACAGACATTTCTCAGAAGTACATATAGTCAATAAATACATGAAGACTTTTAACATCTCTGGCTATTAGAAAAAGGCAAGTTAAAACTACACTAAGATTCCATCTTCCTCCAGAAAGAATAGCTATCATCAAAAAAGCAAATAATCAACAAATGCTGGTGAGGCTATGGGGGGCAAAGGAGCTCTTCTGCATCATTGGTGGGAATGCAAACTAGTGAAACCACTATGGCAATCTGTACAGAGATTTATCACTAGAAACAGATATTCCACTTGACCCAGGTATTCCCCCTCTAGGTATCTTCCTGAAAGAGTTAAAGACATCATATTACAGTGATACAAGCACACCAATGTTTATAGCAGCACGACTCATGATAGCTAAGTCTTGGAAGCAGTCTATATGTCCATCCGCAGATGAATGAACAGATGCACCTCGAGACCACGTTAAATGAAGTCAGACACACAAGCTTAAATATTGCGTAGTTTCTCTTATATGAGGACCCCAACGTATACAGATGTGCAAAACAGAAGATAGATGATAGGAAGTAGGGAGATCTTTTTCAAATAGGAAAGGGATAAAAAATTGGAGTGGGGAGGAGTGGAGGGAAGGGGAAAATTAAGATGCTATGTACATGTATGACTTCCCCATGAGAAACATAATCATTGTGTAATGCAAAATGTACTCATAAAAATTAAAATTAAAAAAAGAGAGAAGGGAGCCATGTGGGACGGAGATGGTTTCATAGCAGGAAGCATTTGAAAAAGCAAATATTTTAGAGTTCAGGCTCCGGATCCTCTTCTACCAGGTGGGTCAAAGCAATTAGATGTCACCAGTACAGCAGATGGAGGGTTGGGCTCTCTGGCAGGGACACGGACAAAAGTCACCTTTAGGTTTTTCTTAATTACAGTTCTGGAAAGAGCCGAGACTAAACACACCTCGTAGAACAGCAGTTTCTAGCAGAGTGTGATGCCCTAAAGCACGTGTAGCCACTGTGAGAAACTTCCCTGGTCACAGTGTGAGCTGGCCCTCCTCTTAGGGGAGGGTGGACTGCCTATTATAAGGGCATCCATCCAACTTAAAGTGGCATCTGTATTTATGACAGAGTCCTCTCCAACAGCATAAGAATTCCCAAGCTGTGGACAGTGCTGGGCTCAGTGACTATGAAACCACCTTACCATCCCGGATGACTGCTGGGTCTATGATCACACAAGTGTAAGCAGGGGTAGCCCCCATTCCTGAAAACACTTGGTATATAGAGCCCAGTGTCTGTACTACCACTGCCCCTGGCCACCGCCCAGCTTAGATGGACACCATCAGAGCAGCTGCTGGGCAGAGCTGTGGGTGGTATGACTGGTAGTTACTCGTGAGTCATGGCCACTGGCTGTTTGTAGTGACTATTGGGCAGTGTACTGAGGCCTTTGTGTTGTGAATGAGTTTCTACTGGGAAGTTCCCTCAAGGGTGCCATCATGTGGCACCAATGTGGGAACAGCTCCGCAAACCAGGCACAAATGACTTTGTCATGTAACACCTCGTGCTAAGACCTCTCCTTCTGGAAATATGGAGGCAGATGCTGTGCGTGACCAAGGTGCGGGCCCAGGCAGCAGACCTAACAGGCCTGGTGGTTGTGTAGTGACAGTAGATATAGAAGTGCTAAAGGATAGAACATAGCCAAGGGACAGAATTGCCCCCCAAGATTGTGACTTGGTGGCAGCCACGACGCAGTAGCAGGTGTCCTTATGTTGTTGAACGTAACATCCCTGTTGTTGAACCCACAAAGGGAAACACAGCACTGACCAACCTGAGAGGGACTGGCAGGTTATGTTTGTCCTTTGGCGAAGAACAAAATGCCTTAACCTGTGTAGTCACAGCTACCGGCCTTATGTAAGCCTTCACTGGTGAGAACTACGACTGCCACTGTCAAAGGTCTTTAGAAGTTACCTGTGCTACATGGGTCCCCGTGCCACGTGACAGTGGTTGGGGCACCTATTTCAGAGGACATGCTGCCCAGAATTGGGCCTAAACACATGGTATGTCATTGTACTTTCCTCTACCACTTAATGCTCAGGCAGAGGGCCGCAGTGAAAACCAGCTTAGTAAAGCCCCTATCAGGCAAACCAAACTTCCTTGGCTGAAGTCCTTGGAGAAGCATTATTAACCTTAAATACCCTACAGCTGGCACGAGTGCCTAGGAGCGCCTGACCCTGCCTCAGCCCACGTGTCCACATCCAGATGCCGTCCTGCCAGAAAGTTGATGCAGACAGAAAGCACTTCTAATTTACACTGCAACCGCTGAATTTTGGGAGTTCTGTGGGGGTTCAAGTGGTTTATTTCCTCCTGGATGAATCAGCTATTTCTTGCATAACGTGAGGCATCTCTGGCCTTGCTAACTTGTTCCACTGGATCCTGTTGGACTCTGGACCCTTACGATGAATGAGCTAAAGAAAATCTCTCTGGGCACCACAGTTGGCCTCTGGCTTGGTATGCGTTTTGATGTGAGTTTCAGAGATCACTCCTGGACCCTGTCCTGTCGGTTATTGTGTGTAGTATGTATGCTCCACACCAGCTCCCAGCTGTTGCCGTGTGGTCTGGATGGTAGTGTCTTGCCTGATGGCACAGGTTTACAAGTGCCTCTAAAAGCATCAGTTTATTTTAGCTCCCAGTTGTGGTCTTTTGTTTTCCCTGAAACTTGTGTGGTTATAAAGACAAAATGTGTACATATGCCCGGTTCTACACACCTCATACCACCTATGAAGACCCAAGTGGATGCCGTATGTGATCCTGGCCATTCTATGGGAGTCATATAGGTTACTGGTTTGTTTCCTGGGGCTCCTCGTGGGAAAAAACTATTTATATAATCATCTCTTCCTGCATGTTACTCTACCAGTGCTGTGGACACCATGTACCTGCTGACCAAATGCCATATGGCATGCTGCATACGTAATGCTAAACATCTTGCAGGTTCAGGGCACAGGGCAGAAGAGGGTGGCACACGAGATTCTGAGTGTCAGTGATGAGGGTGAAAGGCAGGGATTCAGCTTGATGGAACTGCAGGTGTCACCACTAACATGGCCATGGAGCCATCCCGGTTGGCTTCCCCTAGTTTCCCAGTACATTCTAACAAACAAACAAACATCAAATAGTAGCATTTTATGATCAGACCCTGGCACAGTTAATACTAGGCAGGTACCTAACATCTTTACGCCTAGAGATAAACTGAATACATTCCAGCTTGGATGAAGTCACATTCGTCCCAACAGCTTTGTACATCCCCTTCCTCTGATGCAAATCACAAGGATCCACTCACTAGGTCTGGCTATTGCTCAGGACCATAACTCTCACTCCACAATCCTGGGTGTTTCTGCTTTTTTCTTGGGTCTCACACCTTGTGGATGATCTTCCCACATGGGGACAGGGTTATCCTCAAACACGAGTTCAGTAATAAACCCCAGACATCTAAGGTTAACTGATCATCCAATTGAGAAAGAAGTCTTTCCAAGAATGTGCCAGAACTGTGTCCATGTGCGAAAGAATGAACTTGAACCCTTACCTCAAACTCTACGTAGAAATGATCTCAAAGTAGATATAAAATATAAGAGCTAATACTATAAAACCTTAAAGGAAAAAAAGCAGAAGTAAATCTTTCTGGCCTTGGATTGGGTAAAGGATTTAGGCGTAACTCCAAAAGCAATTAAAATAAATAGTATTTTGTCAAAATTAAAAATGTTCCTGCTTCAAAGGATGACACCAAAAACAGGAAAAACAAAGTCCACAGAATGAGAAAATTATGCAAACTGTGTATCTTATATGGAACTGTACCCAGAAATCTATAAAGATCAGCTCAGTAATTAATACAGAGACTGGATGTGGTAGTGTGCACTTGTTTCAGCTATTTGGGATGCTGAGGCAGGAGTATCACTTGAGTCCAGGAGTTTAAGGCCAGCCTGGGCAAAACAGCAAGGCCCTCTGACTCAGAAAGGCAGCTGATCTGATTAAAATAGAGCAAAGACTCTGGATATTTCTCCAAGAAACATAAGCAAGCATTAAGCGCATGAAGTAGTCAAGGAAAATCATGAGATAACACACCAATTTGGATGAATAGAATACAAAGTCAGATGACACGTACTGGCAAGACAGTGAACACACTGGAACCTCATATGCTACTGGTAGGAATGTAAAATGGTACAGCTACTTTAGAATATAATCTAGCAGGTTCTCAAATCAATGGAAGTTATCAGATGGCTCAACAACTCCATGCCTTGCTATAGAACCAAGAGAAATCAAAATACACATTTACACAAAAACCTGTACAGAAACTTTCTGAGCGTTATTTATAATGGCCAGAAACAATCCAAATGTCTATAACTGATGAGTGGATGTAGAAATTTGGTATATCTGTACAATGAAATATTAAATATTCTGCCATAAAGAATGAAATTGAGTCAGGCATGATGGCACATACCTGTAGCCTATCTTTAAAATCTTAAATCTTACATGCTACATGAAGGGGCCTTGAAAATGTGCTAAGTAAAACCATCATCATGCCACGCTCAGAAAACACCTAGAACAGATACCTATGAAGAGCAGGTTACTGATTGCTTAGGGCTGGGGGAACGGGATGAAAGGCAAAGGGACCAAGATTTTGGGGATGAAATGTCCTAAAATTGTGGTAATGGCTGCAAGTATTTGTGACTGTATTAAAAATCACTGAATGGCTACTGAGTGAATTTCATGAAGGCTCTTTGGAAAGTGTAGAGAACAGTGGTCAGGCACTACTGATGTACACCTATTATTTGTATCCCTTATTTAGAGTAACTGTGAGGCATCAGCATTTCCACCTCACAGAAAAGGAAACTGAGGGTCAGGACATCCCGCCTCTTACAAAAAGATACCATGGTTGGTTCTCTGCCTCTTTTGACAAAGGTGTCACAAAGCTGGTTCTCTGATCCCACAATAAAAACATGGACATGGAATTTGAAAACTAGGCAAAGTGTAGGTCACCCAGGCCTTGTAAACTCTTAACATCATTGTACTTTTAAGCAACTGGAAGGTTTTAAGCATGGAATTTTAAGACACTAATTTTAAGGTTGTTTTTTGAGACAGGATCTCATTATATACCACTCAGGGTGGCTTTGAGCTGTGTACCCCAGGGTAGCCTCAAAACTCCCTCCGTCTCCTCAGTGCAAGATTTTACTACTAAGTAAGAACAGATTGGGAGCAGCAAGGAGGTACTGCAATTGTACAGTGGTGGTTAGATATCCAAATTATCTTGAGTTCATTCCTTTTCTTCCTACTAATCTAATTTTGGTGGTGAATTTGAATAAAATGTAATATTTTAAAAAGTGTTCCTAAAGGTTCTATACACATGTAACTGTTAGACTGGGAATATTATCAGTGGCAGAATATGTATGTTTGCCTAAGAAACATCAGGCCCTGGGGTTTGATCCCCAGCACCCCGATCCCAACCTCAACAAAAGAAACCATTATTTTAGTCCCTATTCTCACAAATCTTTTTCACTAGCTACTTAAAACTCAGAGTTCACTATTCTAGCAATAGTAGAGGCCAGTGGGGGGGGGAATCTGTGGGGAAAATGTCCTGAGCATTACTGAAGGATTGGATTAGAAAAGCTTTTTTGGGGGGGGTAAACATTTACTAGTCAGTTTTGGGCATATTTTGATCAGTGACTAAGAAAGCACACCACTTTAGAAGCTTTAAACAGCTGCTACACTTAAACCTTGGTTATATGCATAACTATTTAACTTCTAATTACATAGCTGCCTGGCTACTGAAATATTTTCCACAACACAGACAAAAAGGCACAGAAGTGGTACCAAGTGGATAAATGCAAGGCTACCTTGACGGACAAAAGAGATAAAGCATCAGGTTGTAAAAGTGAGCAACACCTCACGCAAGGCCATCATGAACTGGGGTCCCTTTTAGGTATGGCTACTGTCAAAGCCTGTGTGTGGTTCCTTGTACTATCCGTATCCAAATTTTACTGACCTTTTATAGTCATTTCAAATGCATCTTATCACAATCTTGGAAGCCATAGATATCTGTCTAGAAATAACCTGATCTTTCTCTCGGTATGTCATTTACCATACTATGAAGGTAAGTACCTTAGTCATACAAAATTATCTAGTAAGTTTACTTATGTAAGACTGTTCGCTGCTGGAGAACAAAGGTTTTTCCTGCGTCCTCAGTGTTTAGCAGTGTTTTTAATTAAAAGTATACAGCAGTCATTCAGAACTGACAATTTGCCTATAACTTACTTTTACAGAGGGAAAATATTACTTATTGAAAAATAGGCACCACACATTTATACACATTGGTTTAAAAGTCATAAACTTGACAATATACTTTTCTTGTCAATTTTTTTATTGTGCTACTTGTGCCAAGGAATGAAACTGTTTACTGAATTAGGCTTGTATCTTAATTATTCATTTAACAAATTCATTTAAATAAGTGTAATATTCCAGAAATGACAAGTAGCTTAAACACAACTTTAATAACTATCATTTTAAAAAATTAACAAAATCAGTCAGTTAAATTTTCAACAAGGCAATGAATGTAACATTTACCACTAACCTGACTAAAAGGTCGCACTCGCACTGCTACTTTCACACTGTCAGTACTTGGCATAGGCGTTCTCATCATTTTCCCGTTATCCATACTCTTATTTTGTAGAAAAATAATGTAGAAAGCACACTGCTACACTTCACACGAAAACATTAAAAGCTTAACAGCTGACAAAGGCAGTTTGTTTCTAGATGATCAATTATTAACAGTCCATTCATTACACACTATCAATTACCTGTCATAAATTATTTTACAACCCTTATTTATTGATGAATTTTATAGCCTACATCAAGTATCATTACTCAATTGCACACAGTCATACTGCAGAGGAAACGGTGCTTTTGTTCTTTCTTGTTCCACATTGACTCACACTCTCCCCATTCTTAATAATCTCTGCCTGAGGTCCTGTAATAATTTGCCAGTTTTAAAAACCTGAATAAGGGATTTTTGTGATTCAGTAGCAAGATGCTCCACAGCAAGAATATTATAAAAATTTGTTCAGACTTCTCCATGTATCAATATTAGGCACATGCAAAGTGTACCAAATAGCCATAAAACAATTTATCTCAAATTCTTTTATGAGGTTGCTAATAAGCAGTGAACCGGTCAATCTAACCTGGATAATTAGTCTCCGAATTAAGAGACTTTAAAGATAGTCTTTAAGCTTGCCGAAAAAATGTCAACATTACAGTTATCCAATGTATTACTTGGAAAATTACTCATTTGAGGTAGATTACATGAAGTGTGTGAAACTACAAAAAGGCAGCAAAATTACATGCCCATACTTCAGTTTCAACATGGTAACAGGCAACAAACAAAAATACATATTATGATTAGAAATCTTAATCACAGAATCAAAGTGCATAAATTAAAAAATAGCAACTTTAAAAAATAGCTCAATCATTCTCATTTTAAGATTGGTCTAACATTTTAACGATAGAGAATGAAAATAGGACAAAAACCACTAGCATATAAAAACTATTAAAACAGAAATCCCCTCTCAAAAATCTAACAGACACCAGCTACTGTGAAGTATATACTTTATTTAACATTCCAATAATAAGCCATATTTACATACTATAGAAATGTATGAAGTCTTAAATATAAAATAGAAAAAAATGCCTGGACTAAAAGAATCACTCCATATGGAGTTATTTTACTTACTGAAAGACCTCCTGTTTACAAAAATTTACAATAATTTATATAAATTATTTTCTTCCAAATTAGATGATTTTTAATCCACACAATTTTGATGACTTTATAAATTCATGTACATTAAAACCTTGGAAAAAAATTACAGCATTTTCCTACGTAAAACTTGCTTTGGAAGGGAAAATGGTTTCTTTCTGCCCCTTCCAACAGCTTTTCCCATTACTTCTGCAGTTTTTCTTGGCTTACTCTTTACGCCATCAACTGGGCTTGCCAAGGGAGAAATCAGCTTAATTTCTACTGGAGGAGGTGACCAAGAATGTTCCTTTTCTGTGTTTCTGAAAGAAAAGATAAAATTAAGTAAGAATAAACACATTATGTTATAAATATAACTGTTTCTCAACACTGTGAAAGAAACCTTAGGGGAAGTGCTTTCATTTTCTAAGAGAAATAATGGTTCCAAGATGTGAAGATGATACTTTAAGTCATGTAAGCTCACCTGAGGCAGAGTTAAAGTCTCACTTTAACATTTTTTGTGTAACATTTTTGTTTTCTGATTTGGCTATTTAAAAACAATCAAATTTAAAGGAAAACTTCCTTTAAATGTTGCATATATATTAATGAATTACGAGGATGGACATATACTAGTAGTCTATGGAGGTCTAGCAGGCCAGGCCCATTGAGCTATAGAAAAATGGCAATTCTTCAGCACCAACAACTGGCAAATGTATGAGTCATTTCACAAACATGAAGTAGTTTCTTAAATATATACCAAACCCATTTATCAGTAGTGTTCTTAATAGTGGTAGCCATTAAATTAGTTTTTAGAGTAAGATAAAACATTAATATTTTTAAAATTAAATACAGCCATGGCTAGCCACCACACTGAAAAAATACTGTGAAACAAATGTATCTGAAATTGAGTAATCTTCCCATGGATGTAGTTTTATTGCTAGTAGTGAAATAATTTCATGATTTTAAAGTTTATAATCATTAGTATTTGTCTTTAATAATGAAAAGGTGAACTAGCCCACTTCCCTTCCCCACTCACATCCTGCAGGTACTAAACTATCTCTGTCCACTAACCTTCTTCAAAAAGGTATGAACTTTCATGTGACAGAGAAACCCACCTTCAGCATTAAAATGTTAACAATGTTAAGGAGCCAGTGCTATAAGACACCTCAAGAGCTATCCTTTTCTGATGAGCTTAATTTCTTTCTCTCTCTCTCTCTCTCTTTTTTTTTTTGAGACAGGGTCTCACTATGTAGTTGAAACTGACCTGGAACTCACTATGTAGCCCAGGCTGGTCTCAAACTCACAGTGATCCTCCTGCCTCAGCCTCCCGAGTGCTGGGATTACAGCCATGCGCCACCACGCCTGGCCTGAGCTTAATTTCTTTTTAAATATTACTTGTCTCAATACTAATTCAGAAAAACAAATTGTTAGAGGTTACAGAACAGAAAATTAGACTTACTTGTTTGCCTGCTTTGTTCTTGTAGTCCTGATTCTCTTTACTTCTTGCTCTTCCACAGTTTCTACTGTTTTAGCATTGTCCTATGAGTTAAAGGTAAATCATAAACATTTGAAATTGGAATTGAAGTTTTAGAATTACATAGTATAGTCAAACAATTCTAATAAACTCAAGTCCCAAATGGACTACGTTGATTTGCTAATAAAAAACCTTAGTCAAAACCTTACTCAACTAGGTATGTTCTTTATTGCTCATTCCTATAATTCAACTGTTCCCCATCTTGTCAATTTTATTTTGAATGTTTCTATTGTTCACTGCTCTCCCTCTTGTAGGGAAAGGCCATAGAGACTATAGTTTTTTTCCTCCTTAGAATCTATCTTTCATAGAAACTACTTAAAATACATGGCTACTTACTAGTTCACAAATAATTCCGCCATCAATGAGCCACTGCCATTTTCTGCATCTCTGTATTTGCTATTTTCTCTATCAGAAATGCCTGTTTCCTCTATTTTGTCTACAGAGGTGTCTGGGGATACAAGTCTTATTATGTAGAGAAATAATTATTTGTGATTCTGTTTCCTCAAATTTCCATTAACTGAATTATTTTTGTGTTTAGCTTTTGCATAGTAACTTGATTTATGGCAGGTAATTCAAGAACTGCTTAAGAATAAGCATTCATAAACGTAAGAAACTCAATCCTTGAAGAAATTTCACTTTAGGGTTATGTACAGGTAGGTCCCTGAATTAACTCTGAGCTTCTCCAAGGGAACTTTCCAACAGGACTTCTAGGATTACATCTTAAATAAACAGATTAATTCAGGAGGGCACTCAAATTTAAAAACTTTTCTCCTAATAGGTAACTCAAACCGTGGCTGCCAGTAAGTAATGTATCATAGTAACACACTACAAATCTGTCTGAAAGGATCTCCACAGGTAGGCGCAGACAAGTTTTGGGCTTTTAGCATAAATGGTTGATATCTTAAAGGAAATATTTATTTATTTGTTTGTTTGTTTGTTTATTGTTTTTTTGAGACAGGGTCTCACTATGTAGTTGAGACTGACCTGGAACTCACTATGTAGCCCAGGCTGGCCTCGAACTCACAGCGATCCTCCTGCCTCAGCCTCCCGAGTGCTGGGATTTCAGGCGTGCGTAACCACGCTTGGCAGGAAACATTTATTTAGAAAATAAAAGAATGTTTAAGCAGACACACACAGAAGAATGTCTTCCTTACCAGTTCATCTATAAGCCTGGATGTACTGGATATGTTTTTTCGCTTGGTCCTCAAAGTAGGTGAGAAGACAAACTGAGAAGATAAATCTGAAACTAATTCTTTCAGCTGTGTAGGAGTCTCTATTCTTTCAGCTAAAGAAAAGTTGGGGGGGGGACCAACACTGTATCAATATCTTTGAAATATACATTTTAATACATGTGTATGTCAACACAAAGCTTGATACAAATGAAGTACATCAAAAAGATCCAAATATCTCCAAACCTAGAAACTACAAGTGTCTTAATTACTCACGTGAGAAAGAACGGTGGTGGTGGTGGGGCTAAAGTATAAAGAACACACACAAAGCCATACTATTCATTAAATTAAAACACTTACTGTTCCCCAGCTGTCTGGGGAAAGCATCAATTGAATATGATCCAAACTAGTCTGTGTAGTAATTCTCAGATAGGGTTTTCATTTACGTAGTACTTTTTTTGGGGGGGCACTGGGGATCGAACTCGACCTTACATTTGAAAGACAGGTGGTGGAACTACTGAGCTAAATCCCTGGCCCAGTACTTTTTTATTTGAAGAATAGTTTCATTTACACAGAAAAGACTCACACCCACTTTTCAACCTAATATGAGCCACTTGTTCTAGTTAAGAGAAATAACAGAAAAATTCGTATCATAGAAGGAAAAAGCTGAGAAGGTAGGTAACTCTGCCTCAGTTTTTATAAAACAGATTAATGGCAACCCCTATCTCAAAGGTATTCTTAGGAGTAAGCCAGGTATAGTGGCACAGCTGGGGCAGGCAAAGCACTCAAATTCAAGGCCAGACTGGGCTACATAGTGAGTTCAAGGGACCGAAGTACAGGGCAAAACCTTGTCTGAAAAACAAAATCATCCAAAACCTACCCCCACCGCCCCCACACAAAAAAAATCGAAGGCATTCTGAGATTAAAAGATTAGAATATCATGTGGCCATGTGGTTTGTAAGTAGATTTTTGAATGTTATATTATTTTTTAAAATATACAAACCCTTGAGAGTTTACCTAAGACAGAATTCAAGGCTTATGATTTTTAACAGAAAAAAATAGGGTTCACATCAATAAATAAAGGTCATCTCCACTACCAGCTTGTAGGCAGAAGTTGCAATGCCTAGGGCTACTGATGGGAGACTTCCCCCTTCTGGTCCTAAAAATACAAATATTTCTATATTTTATGGAAATGACATCTATTTCAACTTGCGATCCTTATGCCCCAGCCTCCCAAGTAGCTGGGAATACAGGCATATACTACCATAACCAGCAAAAGTGATACATTCTGTAATTCTTTTTCCAACTATAACTTAATCAAATTGTATTTTGTGTACCTAACCATTACCAAAGAGCTATTCTAGGCATGTATCAGGTATACTACATTAAATCTTTTTCCATAATCACCTTTTCAGACATTAAAGTACTTTTCCCATGGAACTGTTTTCCCCCACGAAATGTTAAAAACACCAATATACTACACACGTTTGTGTACTCCATGTATGTTACACACACACACACACACACACACACACACACACACAATTTACACATAAAAACAGTAAGATACTTTTATTTTGGTACCAGGGATTGAACTCAAGACCTTGCACTTGCAAGGCAGGCGCAGCGCCATTGAGCTAAATCCCTGGCCCTATACTTTTATTCTTTTGAAAAAGCTATCACCTTTATTGAGAAGGTTTGAGCTATACCAACCAATGTAATCACTGGCTCATCAGTGACAATGAGTAAGACTGGGTATGCAAACACACCAACTATGGGCAATATGAAGACAGATTTCATTAATTTCTAAACCATAATCAGTAAAAAACTACTGGTGGTTCCTCTCAAAACAATCTGGGGTTAAGGATGGGGATTTAGCTCCCAAGTGCATGGTCCTAAGTTTGATCCCTGACACCACAAAACAAAACAAAACACCCAAATAATCTGGGGGTTGTAACTATTAACAGTGACATGAGGATTGGGGATTTAGCTCAGTGGTTCTGCTGCCTGCTTGGCAAGCACAAGGTCCCGAGTTTGATTCCCCCATACCGAAAACAAACAACAACGAAACAGTGATGTGAGCCAAAGCTAGATTAAAAACATTCTCTTCTATTTGGAGAGAAACCTAAACTAAGTCACTATTAAGGACAGAATAATACTGAATTCTTGCATCTCAAAATAAACCTGGAAACATGAAATCTTTAAAATTTGACTTTTTTGGAGTGGAAATCCCTTTTAACAATAAATTGTTTTGAAAATTAGTTGGTACTTTAAATCAAACAGTACTTTAACCAAATTTTAGGCTGAAGATCCTGAATGAAGATGAAAACTACAAATAAAAATAAAAGTACCTTTTAGTTTCCTTGAAATCTTTGCTGTAGGAGAAAATAAAGTCTCATTTTTTGGTTCAGAAAGGTCTTGCAAAAAGCTGGCCTTGCTTGATCTAGTCCTTATGCTACGGGAAGTTTTAATAAAAGTTGTGGTGGAAAGCAATCTTTCTTCTTGGTCATTTGGTTCTTTATGTGCCACTTCATCTACATGTTCTTCTGACACTGAGTATAATGTACATTTCTGGCTTTGATTTTCGGTATTCTTTGTAAACTTTTTTGTAGATCTTAATACCCTATCAAGTTGCTCATTTGGCACTAACGTGGATTTTTCTAAACCTGTTTCTCCAACACTTCTATTTTCATTTCTAGCTGGGGTGTTCCTTGCAGATCTTCGGACGCTGAGAACCTCTGCCTTTTGGGAATTTCTCTCTTCCTCGACAGCCTTAGATCCAACATATTCCAATGGATTCATCTTCCTTGGTCTACCACGTTTCCTAGGTGTAGCGGACATACCAAATTCTGCCTGAAGAGTCAACTGGGATGAATCAAGTTTAGACTCTTGCGTAATACCCAACATACTAACTTCTCCTTTGACCCTTCTACTACGTTTCACAGAGGGTTGTTGGTTACTGGATTTCTCATCCTGTTTGTATCCTGTAATTTCTGAAGCTTCTATATTAGCATTTTTCAATTTCTTGGTAGTCTGGCTAGGACTCGCTACATTACTACTAGCTGTTAGATCATTTATAATTTCAGCATGTTCTTCATTTTCTATAGGTCTTTTAATTCTTTTAGGAGTCCCTTTCATAACAGACACAAGCTTAACCTCTTTTCTAAAAGAAGTTTCAATTGCTGGTTCCAACGGCTGAGATAATTTTGACCTTTTTGGTTCTCTACCTGGAGTAACTTGTGTTTCTTGTTTCATAGAATCAAAACTTTCTAATGTGTCTTGATTAATTTCTTTTTTATTCTTTCCCCTTCTAGAACTAAGAGAATTTTGAGGTATTTGCTCTTTCTGAGATCTTCCTTTAACATCAGAATAGGCACTTTCAGAAGCCTCAGAAATTTCTTTTGTTTTTCTAGTTTTCCTCTTAGCTGGTGACTCCAACATCTTAGGAGTATGAACATCTGCTGACTCCTGTTGTGTTGATGTGATGTTCAGGTTTTGGACACACTGCCGTCTTGGGCGAGTTCTGGAAGAAACTGTATCGTCACTCTGGCTGACATTTATAGTCACTGTTTCTACATCCTGAACAGCCTTACGTGTACGTCTGACTAATTTGGTAGAAGACTTTACATTTTGGCTTATTAAAGGCATGTTTTCGTGCACGGACTGTTCCACTGTATCTGAAGTAACTTCTTTACTCGTGTCTTTAATTACATCTAGTAAATTTTCTGCAACTGTCACTTTAATTGGTTCAGGCACATACGGTAAAGTCTCTACTTTTCGAGATTCCTGGTCACTTGTTATGACTGATGGCAAATTTGCAACATGCCCATGAGCATCACGTTCCACATTATACACAAGCTTTTCTTTAGTTGTTGTGTTAGCTGCTTTTGGCAATGTATTCGAGGCTGTGGAATCACCTGTCTCAACTTCTCCTTCTTCACCTTCTAAAATCAAGGTAAAATTGCTCTGAGCAACGAAAAGTTCCCCATCTCCTTCAGCAATGTCACATTCAGCAGAGTCTTTATCAGGTAAGTCACAAAACTGTTGCTCAATAGTATCAAAATTGTACTGAAGTTTAAGAGTTCCTGAGGGATACAACTCATTAAATGAAAGATTCCTAGCCTCTTCTCCTGATTTTTGAACTTCAAGCTTTTCATGTACATCCACCTAAAATGAATTAAAGAGACTGGTTAAAGGATTTTAAAATGTTATTTTTAACTGAAAGCACAAAGATTTCAAATGACCATCTCACATTTATCGTGTGCATTTTAAAACAAACTATATGTGGTATATGGCATATACTAATGGGTTTACTTTATAAGATACCATTTAAACAATCAGTTCTTAGTCAAAATAATACACAGAAAAAGATTTTGAGATTATAACTGGAATTAAACTAGAAACACATTTCCCTAGCTAAAAAAACAGTATCAACAAAATCTTGAAAATCACTGATATTAATAGTTCTTAGAAAAATTAAGGACTTATTCTAGTCTCATCCAAGAGAAAATGTAACTGGAGAAAAGAAACAACCCCCAAACTACTTAAATGATAATCCCCACATTACCTAACTATCCACACTTTTCTAAACAGTACGATCCCCATAAGGTTGAAGAACAATTCACCTACATAAGCTCCCTTGGGCTAGACTCAATCCTCTTCCCTTTGCTGGGGCTGCATAAACCATGAAATTCCTAAGGCTTTCAAGTTCAGTACCTCTCCTGCAAGGGTTTGGTGGAAGAAGGAATGGTCCTTGCATTTACCTTTTGGTAAGGGAAGGGGAGAAAAAGGAGGAGGTAGAAAGTAACAGAGAAAGAGAAAGAGACAGAGAGAGAGAGAGAGAGAGAGAGAGAGAGAGAGAGAGAGAGAGGGAGAGAGGGGGAGAGAGGGAGAGAGAGAGGGAGAGAGATCTCCTGACCAAGAAGGTAGAACATTGCCACCAGGAGAGAGAGGGAGAGAGATCTCCTGACCAAGAAGGTAGAACATTGCCACCCACCTAGAAAATGACATTTTCCCATCCCCAAACATTCAGTGAGTTGACAGACTGGAAGTAACCTATAAATGAGGATTCCCACTTACACCATACCCACATTTTTATTAGCTTTGCAACTGAAGGAATAAGGACTTAGCCATCTATTTTACAGGGAGACTATTTATAAAAATGGATATGGGTAATTACAAGATGTTTATAAGTTAAACTGCCCCAAATCTATAAAGCTTCTATAAATAACCAGAAATTAGTTTCTCAGATTCAATTATTGTATAAAAATTGCATCTTAATATGAGACTTGGTATAATTTTAGAAAATCACATTAAGTACTAAACAAACACCCCAAAAATCCTTTCTGGAGGGTAAATACTCTGGAGAGCTAAATACTCTCGCACAAGTATGCACGGGAAAAATATCCCGTTTTCCTTTACTTTTACATATATGCTCTTAAAATGTTTGTCTTTGCAGTAGTCATTAGATGTTTTCTTATGGCTAAAAAACCCTTCATTTAAAGTAGCTAAGCAAAAATTAAACTGTTAAACTGTGGCTTAACACAGCCTTTTGGTTTTCCTGAGACCCAATTTCTTCAAGGATATGTTTCTTCTATATTCCACAAAACATTTTTACTTTATTCTTTGAACAGAGATTTTATAATAGCAGTCAAATAAACGAACACATTAGGTTTAAACAGTCACATCCTAAAATGTAAATCGAAACTGAAAGAGGAAGTAAAAAAATTTTTTACATGAATTTCTTGAGTATCAGGAGGACTGTCAGAAACTGGATGCTTTTCTTCTGGTAAGTGAGCACTTTGTTTTAGCCTATCAACTTCTGTTTCACGCTCTAAGTTCAGTGCTTTTTCCTGGTCAAGTCTATGCTCAGAGACAACAGGACTTTCAGAGGTAATAAGCCCAGAGCTTCCACTCTCATTGACATCAGCCAGAGCTGAAAGAAAGATGATTTAACTCTTTAAATTTAAACTGCAAAACATGATCTATGGACAATTAAGAAAGCAAACAGAAAGGAGAAGACTACCCTGTACCCGAGATTATCTTAACTGCCACACTGCAAAAAGCCTGTAATATCATAAGGGGAAGCCTATGTGGATCCATATGCATTAATCCTCCACTTTTCTTCAGTATACCATCATTCACTTTTATACTTTGTGTGTCCTTTTTCACAAAGATAAAACTCAGATGATAAACTTTACACTTAAAAATGACTTTTTTTCTGTTGAAGCATAATCCCTGCCCTTACTACAAAAGTTTAATATAATGGCAACTGTTTTAAGGAGGCTCAGATGTTTGTTCATTAACTTGGAAATTGTAGTACCCAGGTGACTACTAAACAACTGTTCTTGCTGAGCCATTACAGAATGTTGAAAAATTCCTCTCATCTTCCTCTGCCAAAGTTGTATGTCATTAGCAATCATAGGTCATATTTGGGTTTAGTGTTTGTGAATGACACAAAACATAAGATAACCTCATGGATCTCTAACTGAACTAAAAATGTTTCAGTTTAACAAAAATCAATGAAAGGTAAAACTAAAAAAAAAAAAAAAGAACTAGGAAATATTCTTATACTTTCAAGAAATTGGCTGGGTGTAGTGCACGTCTGTAATCCCAGCACTCAGGAGGCTGAGGCAGGAGGATGTCCATTAAGTTCAAAGCCAGAACGGACTAATTAGTAACACCTTGTTTCCAAAAATAAAAAAATAAGAAAAATAAAGCAGGTATGCAAATACCAGTAAAACAACATGAAAACTTTTCAATCTGTCAGTATGGCAAAGAGGAATGAGAAAACAGAGACTTTTCACTCACCAGTATATAAATAGTAGTGTACAACTTTTACTGGAGAAAACTGTAACATGTGAGAGATCTAGGTACTTTTTATGGGGGGGGGTACTGGGGATCAAACTTGGGTCCTTGCGCTTGCGAGGCAGGCCACTGAACCGCTGAGCTAAATTCCTGGCCCCTAAGCACAATTTTTGACCCAGGAAGTCTATGTCCAACTGAAATACTGACAAAATGTTTGAACACACACACACACACACACACACACACACACACACACACACACACACACACACAAGAATACTCACTGCAAAAATGAAATAGTAAAACAAACAATAAAAGGGGAAAATCATAATTAGTCCAAATGTTTACCAATAAGCAATTAGCTGAAAACACACACACAATACAGAATCCTACCAGAACCATTAAAAAGGATGAATCTATATTTTTGCCATGAAAAAAATGGCTTATGTTATTAAATGAAAAGTTGCTTTAAGAAATAAATGCACAGCGGGGCGTGGTAGCACATGTCTGTAATACTAGCACTTGGGAGGCTGAGGCAGGAGGACTGCTGAGTTTGAGACCAGCCTGGACTACATAATGAGTTCCAGGTCAGTTTCAACTACGCAGTGAGATCCTATCTCAAAAAACAAAACAAAACAACAACAATAATAAATAAATGCACTTACTGATAATGTAATAATTATTTATAGTAACAGTTAATATTTTCTGGCTTTTAAGTACCAAGTAATATTCTGAATACATGCAATTGGCTTAACCCTAACATTATAAAATGAATACTATTTATATTTAACAAACAAAAAATACAGAGGAATAGTCCATAGTCTTATAGTAAAGTACAGAGCTGTGTTATTAACCCAAGCTATCTAGGTCAAGCTCCTGTAATCTTTTGCCACCTATTTCCTCACAGAAAAAAATTATTTTTCAAGAAAAAGACACTTAAATTGCTAATAGTTTTCTCCTTTATATGTCAGACGATTCTCATACTTATTTACAGTAAGACTGTATATACTTGTAATCACAGGGCAATGTCAGATCTGCTCAGATTTGCCTTAAGCCCTATTTATAATATGATAGACATGAAAGTGTAACAGTTAAGGGCATAGGCTCTAGAATCAGATAAGACAACTGTATCATAGCAGTGTTCTAAGAAGGGAATGAGTTCATACATGTGAAATATTTTTGGCAATAGACATTCCACGTGCCTGCTTTCCTTAAACCCAACTTTGAGGTCTCTTAAGAAAAACACCTTCCTCACATCTCTATAGTCTGGGTTTGAGAGGAGATGATTAAACACTAAAAAGAAATAACCCTAAAGTCAAATCATACATACATTTATTGTTGTCTGCTCTAATTGCAGATGTGCAAGATTCAACACACATTAATCCTTCATCCAAAACTGGTACCTTGGACTTCAGGGTGAGGGTTTTCCTTTAGAAACAGAAATGTATAATTTTACCGTGTAAGGTTTTTAAATGCTTGTCACCATAAATTACTCTGAAGATAATTTGTAATAATCAGTGGTCATATTCTTCAAATACACCTGTCAAGTATTAAAAAATATTTCTCCTGAGCTCAGTAGGATCATATTCAGTATTTTAACACAATGTTACACTGTTAATGGTTCTAGGAGGCACAAGTACCAAACAGTTTTAACTGGGAGGGGTACTGAGTCAGATCTAATTGATGCTGACAAGTTCTAACTTGCACAATGAGTAGAAATTTTCACACCAAAATTCACTGAGTACCAAATCTGACAAGTTTCAAAGCAAGTACCAAAAAATGGCTGTATTCATTTATTAATAGATGTTTGTTAAAAAGACTTATCTCAACCACAGGAATTTATAGCAAGGATAGCTGAGAACAATTAAGTCAGAAAAGGATCAAGTAAGTTTATATTTAAAAAGGAACTACTTGGGCTGGGGATTTAGCTCAGTGGTTCTGCCTCCTGCCTTGCAAGCACAAGGACTAGAGTTCAACCCCCAGTACCAAAATAAATGAATGAATGAATGAATGAATGAATAAATAAATAGGAACTATTTGCTTGCCAAGATATTAAACATTCATCTAGATTCTCATTGAACCAGTTTTTTTGGCTATGAATGCTTCTTGCTTTGTAACTATTGTAATTATCTCATTGCAATTAACTCACTACAATAAGAAACATTTATTTTCATTACAATTTTTTAAAAAATGAAGCAATCTTTTCACTGGTTTCTGCTACTTTTCTGATGAAGGCTTGGCAAAGATTTCAGCTATCCAGAAAGACTTTCAGAAGTACGTGATGGCATTTCATGAACAAGGTGACTATCAAAATATGAATTTTGTTGGTAATTTATGAGGTTACTCCCAGTACTTGCTTTTTACAAAGCAATGTAACAACTATATGTCTTAAATGGTATTTTATGTGGGTTAATTTTGCTGTAATATTCTTACTACCTCTCTTGAAAATTGAAGTTGTCACTTTTGCGTATGCTCTACAATGTTACTCACAGTGCTGACATGCGATCTGTGCCTAGTTTTGCAATGAAGTGAGCTTTTGTCAGAAGGTAAATAGGTTATTATCAATTAAGTCAGCTAACTTTTGATATATCACCAAATGGATATGTGGAAGATCTAAGTAAGTTCTAAAATGCATAGAATATTTTATTGTTGGCTCACAAGTTTCCCTAAGTATCTTTAAAAAAGTATTTAAATTTGTCTTCATAAACTTACCCTTCATGGATGGATGGCACACAAGAAGATTCAAGTCCTTGAATGGGGTTTAAGTGATTTAATTCTGAAAGTTCCTCCTGTGAAACTTCTAAATTGCCTATAAGTCAGAGATAAGAACAGTATTTATGCTAAATGTTTTAATAATTACTCATAGTTTTGGACCTTTGTACATATGTGTCCAAGTGTGGTTCTGAGAATGGAACCCATAGCCTGGCACATATGTGCGAGGCAAATGCTCTACCACTGAACTACTACATCCCAGCCCTGGGTCTTTTTAAAAATAAGTTATTGGGCCTGGTTTTTTACTTTTTATGTGTACTGGCTTAGTAATAACTGCCAGCAGAGTTCCTTTAATTCTTTGACGCTAGCACAAGAGCCACCCCCACTTTCCTTAAACTCCAACTTTTCACTTTTTAACAGGCTCTGTTGCAAATGTTCTACACATATTAACTTAATCCTCAACATCTGAAAAGGCAGATGAATGCATTTAGCCTGTTTGACTATAAAGTTCCCATTATATGATCCTCTAATCAGAAAGATTTTTGCCACCTAATATCATTGGAATAATCAAAGGAGATCCTGCTATATACATTCTTATACAATACAGTATTTACCACGAAAATATTTTAAGACTATAGCACATCAAAAAAGCAGTGTAAATTTCTAGACATGCTATTTCTGAGAATATTAAAATTCTTAGACCGATTAATAATGCTTTTGTGTACTAAAGAAGACAACACAATCCAAACTTCACTGAACTACATTTGAAGAAACATTAGTTTAGCCTAGGCAAAAAGTATTTCTCAAAAGATACCCATGACACAGATTCTTATACATGCATTTGGTTTTACAGACATAATGTTCAGAGTCACCTTTAAATAAGCTTGTTAGAACTGTGCATGGGGAGAGAAATCTAAAATAGGCTTAGTTTTTGGATCTACCAATTCTAAGCCAAGTCTCCTTTCCTAGTATCCTGCTCTACTCACAGAAATAGTACTAACCAACCTTCCATTATAATGGCTTGTTAAAGTAGTCCACAATCCCCTGCGTGACACAAGGGCAAGTGTCCCGGTGCTTTACCTACTGTTTGACATTAACATCAAACACACCAGTAGGGTCTTTCTGAAAGCATATGCATTAACGATTCAGTCTGTAAAATTAGAATTAGTTCCCATAGTTTTTTGTTTTTCTTTTTGGTACCAGGGACTGAACTCAGGACCTTGCACTTGTGAGGCAGGCAGGCAGCAGAACCACTGAGCTAAATCCCCAGTCTCTCTCATAGTTATGTGAAGAGCCTTTAAGTCAGATTATGGAGAATTAAATTTTTTAACACATTATTATTCTTTTCCAAATTTCTTGGCTGAGTTAAACACACACACACACACACGTTCTCCTCCTTTTAAATCTCATGCCTACTTCTAGAGCAATGTAAACCATTCTCACAAAGTGAAGTAAGATTTGAGTATTTTGTCTAATACCTAGTGCCCTATGAGTATAGAATAATTGTTTAACCTTGATGATTTTCTTACGGTAGAAAAATCCTATTTCAAGTTTTAATGAGGTGTATCAATGGCAATTCTGAGTATGTGAAATGAGTTCCCATTTGTTTCTCCATGCCTGAAAGAGGTGCTTCTGACTCAAACATACCTTCATCACCATCCTTCTTAGTTTGTTCATTTAAGCTAGTAATCAGTTCAGTGGAAGAGTTTGGTGGCTTAAAAAAAAAATCTTCACAGTTTCCTGGGGATGGTGCATCATAATATTCTAAAGTAGTCTGGTCCGATCTAGTTGAAACAATGCTGCTTTCTTTGCTCACATCAAGTTTCTCCAGACTCTGTGAGGCTGTATCCTGTGACTGTGCATCCATTTCTTGATGGTCTTTTTCAGGGAGACTCAGGGAAAAAGATGTGGTTTTATCTTTGCTCTTTAGCCATTCAGTTTCAGCTGGAAAATCACTTTTATGTAAAGGTGTAGTAAGCATTTTTGTTTCACTGTCATCTGCAGCCTGTTAATATTAGGAAAAGAAAATTAATCAGTAAAGATCAACCCAGTGCTAAGTGATGCATACCAATCACACCCAAGTTTCCACGCTCAGTATTTCTCCAAACTGTCTGAATTAAAATTCATTTGTTTTAAACTCATTTTCTTCAGACACAGTATTAAGGTTGTTAGGGTTTCCCCAATTTGTAGCATACTATTCATTTCCAAAGATTAAAATGAATAGATCAGATAATCAGTTACCAAACAGATTCCTACTAATCTACAATGGAAATCTGAAGAGGCACCTGCCTAAATAGAAAACTTATTTAGGAATTTTAGGGAAGAAAAACAATACAGGGTAAAAAACAAAAAACATGGACTAAGAATTAGAGGTTTGGATTCTAGTCCCATTTCTGCCATCTAGTTTTTTACAGGTTTCTAAGCCCTATTTTCTTTACCTATAAAATGATGGATTTGGCTTATCCAGTCCCCTAAAATTTCTTCAGAACCATTTCCTGATGTTGAGACTATCTTCAAGACTGTATATAAAAAAGTACAGAGAACTAACTTTTTATTTAGTAGAAAGTACAAAGGATTGAACTCAGGTCCCTGTCCTCACATCAAGCGACCTTCCTCCACTTTTTAGTTTTATTTTGAGACAATGTTTAGTACATTTCCCAGGCTAGCCTCAAACTTGCCTCAGCTTCCCAAGTATGTGCGATTACAACATGTGCCACTGCGGCAGGCTACTATGATCATCCTCAATTCTTTACCTCTTATTATTTATTATCAAACTTACTCTAGGAGTCCATTTTGTCCTCATGTCTTCTTCCATGAATGAAATTCTTGTTTCTTTAAGCTGTGAAGGTGGAGTAAGAGACCTTCCGGGAGACACAGAGGGAGATGCTAAAGGTGTTCGAAAACCAGACCTTAGGATAGATTGTGGAGTCAACTCAGCAAATCCAGAAGTAACTGACATTGCCAAAGTTTTAGCTTTCTATGACAAACAGCAAACAAAATGTCATCATTACTGTTTGTAAAAAGCATTTACAAGGACAGATTGGAACACTTAAGTCACAATAATACTTTGTCATCTCCAATAAACACAAGTAGAAATTTTTATTTCAGAATGTTTGGAAGAAAATACAAAATTCTGTAAGAGTTTTTTATGTAGAGGCTATAAAACATTTAACTGTATTTATAATCTTTCTAAATGTCCTGGTTGTTTCTAAAATACAGTGCCAATTATTTATGTAACACAGAGTTTTAGTTATGTGAAAGACCTGACTGTGTATAATGAACAGAACTACGTTAGTGGAAGATAATCTAAATTAACAATGAGACAGATTTTAGTATGTCTTAAAGAACTTTCATCACAACTATTCAGTAATAACTTACATTTATCAGAATCCTCTAAAAATTTTGTATAATAAAAATAATTTAATATTAGTACTTAAATAATTTAGTAGAAATAATTCCTGTCCACTAAAGACCTCATAAAAAATTATTCAATTCTATTAATGAATTCAGCTACTCAAATTACAAGATTTCCAGTTTTTAATAATAGACTGTTTTGGCAAGAGATGCAAAATTATTCCTTTAATTTCATTTGAACCCAGTGTAGACAATACAAAACATTTTTTTAAACAAATGAACAATAGTTATAAATACTTTACTAGACATTAATTGTCAGGACCTTAATTTATTGAGGTATATATATTTTATTCAACTTGAAATATAAGAAGTCTCGCTATAAATGCTGGAAATCCAGAACAGAGAATCCAGAAACCACCAAACCAAACCCAAAGAGGAGAAAGACATTTAATGTAGAATATTGGAAAATGTAAAAAACAAACAAACAAACAAACAAACGAAAAACACTGGTACCAGTAATCTCAAGTTTGATTTTGTTTTCTCAACTATCAGGGAGGATGGAAGAAAGAGCCATATAAAGACAGGTGGAAAAAATACTATCAGCAGTAAAGATTAACTCTCAAAAGTTACTCTAAAAAATGTAGAAGTACAGTTTTGGAAAGATAGTCATAAAGATTTAAGTAGAAAAAAGTAGTTAAAGTTGTTGACCACCTGGAGATATCAATTATTATTAGCTTATTTTCTTTGTGTGAGTTAAAAAACTAAGAACTCCCTAGCTTCACTACGAATGCTGAATATGTAGTACTAACCTTAACTACAAGAGGGGTTTCAAGTAAATTTAATTCTGAAATCCTTTTCTGATGTGATCCCTTTAATTGTGAACTTGAACTAGAGGGTAGATATGAAGGAGATCTTGTGGGACTCTGATGAATAAACCTCCAGGACTGAGAAGACTGTGGAACAGGATGAACTACCAAATTCAGCAACCTGTAAACAGTATACACATATCAACAGAAAAATCTTGGTAACTGATTATTTAAGAAACAAAAGAATTTATTGTTCATTTATTTATTCAGATTTGCTTATTCACTAGTAAATATAAAATAAGCCAACCACATCAATGTTTTTTTTTTTTTTTTTTTTTTTTTTTTT